GAGTGCACAATCATTGGCGTAGCGTGGATTTTTCCACCAAATCTAAATTTGCCGTCTAGTCCTATTTGGCTATATTATGATCACATGTTATTAGAGATTTTTATTACTGTGCTGTGCAAATACATACATGTGGATTTTGTGTTTCACGTTGTTTATTTGGCGTGTTTCAGAATTAAAACATCATGCTTTTGACTTGTTATCTTTGGATATTCAACCATTATAGTTATTGTTTAAAAGTACGTTAAATGAATATAAAAAAATCAGCAAGCATTAAACCAAAGGTAATTAGATGTGAGTGAAAACACGAATAATTCAGCGTATTAATAGCTCGAGACAACGGAGTGCGTTTTTATGGCGAGGTGGACCATCATCATGCACCTAACCATTTCAACAGTTAATGTACAGCTATTTGTATCGGCATGCGTGGCAGGAATCAAAATGTCCATGTCATAACATATATATTTTTTAATTCTTATTCAATTAAGATTAACTCTTAGCATAACTAGTTGCTAATGTCAGTTTGTAAATAATGTTGGGCGTCATTAACTTCACGCAGCACCAGTTGAGAGCGTCACAAGCTACATTGAAAAGTCAAGGACATTCTGCTTAATGTGGACAAGGACTGTCTCCTCTACGATCAATGGTAGGCATGTCGTGATCTTTTAAGACATACCCCCGTGACATGTCCAGTGATGTCCAAATCCATTGCCACCTGACGCTGAAGAATAGACCACGCGGGGGCGGCAGCTTTGCTCCCCGCCGTCCCCTAGTCTGAGCCGCCCGGATCATGGCCCTTCGGCCGTCCCACGCTACGCCGCTGTGCACAGAATATGTGAACTCGCTCTATAGTCTGGTCCGTGAGCACGTAGAATTTTGTCCAATGACCCCTAGCTACCCATCCTTATCGCTCGCGCGTAATTATGTTGCTATCGCGCTCGCACACTCACTGGGGGTGCCAGTCGCACAGTCGCGACAGCAATATAATTACGCGCCAGCGATAAGGATGGGTAGCTCTAGGGGTCATTGGACAAAATTCTACGTGCTCACAGACCGGGCTTTAGCCATCATCAGAAAACGTCAACACGGCCGCAGCCTCGTGCGGCCTCGTGTTAGCCGACACGCTAAGTGTTCACGCATGCGCATTCAGTCTCATCATTGATTTGTTCGATAAGCCGTGCACAAGTACGTTGCACAAAAGTTCCGCACTTTCTCGGTGGACCCAGCTGGCCCGCACAATGAGCACGGTTCTTTCATGCGCACAAATCTCATTCTCATAAACTTTCTGTGTAGTACTTGTAACTTTTGTGTATAGTCAAAAACAACGCATCTCCTAATCTAAGAGCCTCCAGATGCATTGTTATAATTAGACCAATTGATTTTCTATTTATAAACTACAATAGTATTCGTGGATAGTGTAACTTTAGATTGAAAAAAATGTTTATCTGAATTGGTGAAAATATTGTGTAGCATCAAAATAGTAAACTTTTTATAATGCGCTGCCATGTGTCGCGATCATAACATTGTAGGCGCATTCTACAAGTTGGCTAGCGCTCTTCGCTCATCGCTCGGTATTGTCAATGGTCTGGCCGTATGCTGACAACAATGATATTTGAGGATAGTGTAACTTTAGATTGATAAATTATTTTTCTAAAGTAGTGATTTTAACAGAAGCAAACTTTTTTAATTGTGCTGCCATGTGTCGCGATCATTACACTGTGAACGCATTCAACAAGTTGGTTAGCGCGATGGCGCTTGCAAATCACTTCATCGCTCGTCATTTCTCTGGCCGTATGCTGACGAAGCATTTGTTCTCAGGAATGACGCTGGGCATGCAACAAACGTTGCCCGTAGGCTCGGTGTCGCAAACCATTCCGATGGCGGGCATGCCGCAAACCATATCGATGGTGCAGCAAATACATCCGGTAAGTGAATATAATTAATATTGCCAATGTAACTTCTCAGAATTAATGAGACTAAGCTTATTGTTGACTAGTTCGTAGTAATGTTGTTCAAGTCAGCAATTTCGTTCCGACTGAAAGTCGAGAGAGATAGATAATAAAATAAGTAGTAGGTATTATTAAGTCTTTAGTGTAAGTAAATCATGACGCAGTGAATCTAAAATATTGTTGTTCAGACAAGAAAAACACACATAGATGAAATGTGATATGTCTGAATTCCAATTGCTGCTGCTGATTTTAATGTGCATATTTCAGACACTGACGCATTATGCGGTTTTGTTTTTGTAATTCAACTCTCTTTGGTCTGTTTGTGATCTATAAACGACATAAATACATTTAATGTTATGGTTGGTGATTTACAAACAATTTGGTTTTGTAACTTTCGAAAAAAAAAAGACTTTTAATCCCCAGTCGATGTTATAACCACGTGGATTTGGATGCACTTCAAAGATTCAAAGATTATTTATTCACCGAGATAATGTGGTACAATAAAATATGTGGTCTTAAATTAAAATGAGGTGCAGCTTATCTCACCAGCGTAGCTGGCATGTGAATTTGTGCATAAAAAATCATTATTATAAATTACAATTATAATTATTATATAGCTATGTCAATAATTCAATTAGTTATTCAATAATATTAATTATAATAATCTTACTTCAATAAATTAAATTAGATGTCAAATTGTTTATTATAATTTACATGTCAAATAATCCTTAACTGAATAAAAACTTCGCCCCATCGGAGCTGCTAACCAGTCCTTAAGTAATATTATAAGTAGGCAAGCAGCTATTACTATAGTTACTCATATGAGGCCACGTTCTAGCGTAGTGCACCCTCTTGTCCAACCCCTTTATTCCTCATCATCCACGCTGTAGTCAAACTGTACGAATGTCGTTTCCAGCTGGGCGGTATGGCGCAGGCGGGCACGCTGGTGGGACAAATCAACAGCGCGCCGGCACAGCCGGGCGGCACGCAGGTGCAAACGCTGCCGCAGCAACCGCAGGTAATCATAATCATTTCATCAACAGCCCTTTACAGTCCACTGCTGGACTATGAGCCTCCTCCACTATAGTGGAGGGTTTTGCCATAATCTCCACGCTTGGCAGGCGGGTTGGAGATCGCAGTTTAAAAGATTGATGTTTTTCAGAGAGCGCTGCTGCCCATTCTCTGTTTGATGTGTAGTCCCTAAGTCGCCTCTTACGACACCCGCGGGAAGAGTAGGGGTTGGTGACAAATGTATTCTACTCTGCCGTCACCACACGGCTGCATAATCATTTATTGCTTCATAAGTGTACATAGGTGGTGATCTTAAACTAAAAGTCTCAACTTATGACCCTGTAAGGGTATTGCAAATCTTAATTGTCGTACATTACTAAATATTCTACAATAATAATTAGTCGTACCCACGTCATATTAATTAATATCCATAAATAGGTAAATAATCTGGATGACTAATTTTCAATTATTTGTCCGTCAGACAGATCATTAGAAAATATTAGACTCGTATTTTTTATTTTCTTTCATAATTAAATAATAACAGTGCTACATCGAGTTGAAATGGCAGGTTAGATAAACCAAGTCGGCTAAGCATTAAATATCTAAAAGTAAAATTAAGTTTAATGCTTTTCTCAACAATTAAACTGTTTCACTATCGAATCCTCTGCGTATATATTTAAAATTGACGTCCATATGTAGGTAGTAAGTCTTGTAACACACTGTGTTTATCCAAAGGCTTTGGTCGGCAACGGCATCGTGCAGACTTCAGTGGGCATGGCAGTGCAACAGCCTACGCTCAACCACTCCACCCCGATGCAGACCGTGAGTACTACCCCTTATGTCACTAATAGTACAAGACAAAATCGCTGAAATTACACTACATCTTGGGGATTACTCAAAAAACTAAACAAAAAATCATCGCAAACTGAACTCTTTAACAATCCAAATATGCGAAGGCATCGCAACAACCTCGACCTTTCCACTAATATAAACTGCTGATTTTAACTCTGATCAGGTTACAGTTATTGCATACGTTCATTTGCCTAAACTCGATTTTGTAATTGTCGGCATAAAGTGATTGGCAAGTATGCATAATTTATTACTCATAATAGACTAAAGTAAGGTGTACGTGGCATTTCCTGCATACAGCAATCAGAAAATAAGCTTCCACTCACTTTTTGTGAGCTAGGTAAACCAGTGCAGCTTGTGTGCGAGTGATAGTAGAAGCGACAGGTCGCGCCTGTGCTTTTGAGGTAATAAGTAATTGCATAATCTTTAGGAATACCCGTAGTTTGAACCTAATAACATTAGCGTACTAAGGGTGGATTCGACCAAACAAGAGTAAATATTAATCTCAGAATAAATGGACAGTTTTGACATATTTCCCAAACTGAAACTGTCAATGTGTCAGTTATAACAGGAGTTATTCTCGGATAAAAGTTTGGTCGAATCGGGCCTAAGTGTGTGATATTAATCCCGCCCTTTGCACTGAATATCTCTACTGGAATTATGGTTTTGTTTGCAATAGTGAAACAAATCATAGTCACGTTGGTAGTTGAACAACATAGATTAAACTTTAACGGGTTTAAACATACATGTTTAGTATACTCAACAATCTACCACACTATATCCTCAATCCGTATGTATAAGCACGTATTACATGTATACAGGGTGGAATTTTGTAATGCCACCTGGAGGGAAAGTAAGTAGTAGGTAAACCCTTAATACTGTAGATAGAAAATTTTACTCAAAGAAAACATTCCTTTATTTTTGAAAAGAAAGAGAACTGAATTCAAAGATTTTCGATTTTTTTTTAAATCACCATACCATACAATTTTCTGTAAATAATTACAATAATTTAAGATTTCATGGTTTTCCTTTCATTTGATTTATCAAGTTTGTTTGAGAGATTTCATCCTTATACTTAACCCTAACGATCGATGCAATAAAAATACAGGGTGTAATTTTTAACAGATTTTAGTTGGTTCATTTCCGAGTGTAGCAAGCAAATTTATGAAAATCATTGAATGCAGTTCTATTTCTCTTCAAAAATAAAGGAATGTTTTCTTTGAGTAAAATCTTCTATCTACAGTATTAAAAGTACTTTCCCTTTAGGTGGCATTACAAAATTCCACCCTGTATAATAATGTGTATATTGAAATAAGCGTGTAAACGTAGTATGTATGCGAATATTGGTGATGGTGGTTGGCAGTCGCTCGCGATAGACGGCGCGGCGCTGCTGTCGGCCCCGCTCGTGCAAGTCTCGCCGGCGATCTTGCACCATGAGGTAGATGGACCTTAACGTGGCACCCATGGGGTCTCTTACGACCCTTAAAACTAAACTAAACGCCATAAAGGACAATCTAACGGCCAAATGCTGAAGCGGCACTCAAAGGTAACGCTCCGTTGTTTCAATGGTCAGTCACCAGTCGAATATCACCACAAGTAAACATATTGACTTGTTCCATTTCATTGACCATCAGTTCCGTGACGACTGGTGGTGACAGAGCCTTCACTTGAGAGTATCATTTTAGTATTCGGGCAAAGTTGTCGGTGTTTTGGAGAAACGAAACGATATGTTCGTAATCTTTACCATCTATAGCCCGTTCTACGAAACATCGGCTCTACTCACGTATATTGTACCAAATTCCTAAAGTTTTTATAATAGACCTGTAGATATATTCTCTGGATATATTATAAAATAATGGAGGTGAATTACTTTACCTAAACTTTAGTAGTACACAATACGTGATGTGCCCATTCTAGGCCCTATTTTCGTCATAATTATGTAGTTTAGTGTTGAAATTATACCTTTTCTAGAATTTGATTCTTTTGATATTTTTAATTACTTTTTATATTTGCTTATATAAAATTATTCATTGTTGTTAATAAATAAATTTGAAAAAAAGTTAAAACTAATTTCAAATGACCAACCAATTGGTTGAAAGACGAAATATATTTATTTAATTTACATTACTATTTACTTTTTCAAAGTTCCAATTATAACAGCAACAGTAAAATATTTTTATTATATTTGCATGGTTTGCTGAGTTTATAAATTTAAATATTCGTATTTATTATTATTATACGTATGTGTGCTATATAAATAATGATTTAATGCATGATTCTGAAAGACGATAATATTGTGTATGGTACAGTCGAGTTCACAAACACATTTCAAAATATTGTAAACGTTTTAACAATCATAATTATTATATTTCAATACAAAGTCAAACATCAATAAAATGTAATCATATAAACTGTACATAAATATGTTGCGGTAGCACAGTATTGACTGTGCTACAATATTTTGAAACTATACATACAGGGTGATTTTGTTATATCAGTATCCAATTTTTTTAATAAGTTTGACTTTTTAATCGTGGTATTTTTTGCGAAAAAAATAATTGAAAATGTAATTCGCGGGTGCCCATATCTTAATTTTTAAAGGTCAAGGCTTATTTTCGCGCACCATTATGTCTATTAAGCTTTGCATTTTTCTATGAACGAAGCAAATTATCCACGTGTGCCAATTTTAAAACCGCGCGCAGCGGATAAAAATAATTAAACACTGGAAAAAAATATTATTTTACTTTAATCGATTAAGTTACTGATTCTCAGTCGCTTCTAAAAATTTGGATACTGATAACAAAATGGTTTCGTAAAACAACGCCCATCTCAGGGGTGGTGGTGGTATACACGACACTGATATTAATTTTTTTTCGATAATAAAAAGCGTGTCCATGATATTGATAAAGTTACGGCGTAAGCACAAGGCAAAGATATATTTTTTTACCATTAATGTATACACGACACTGATGCCGAAAAATATGTATTTTAAATTTTCATGGAATAATCCATGAAATCAGGAAAATGGTATTATTACGCGGGCGAGCTATCGGTCAATCCCCCCGCTATCCAGGGGCGGCGGCCGCGTGTGCTTGGTGGTGTAGCGGGGTACGCGGGGGTGTTGCAGGCGGTAACTCGAGAGTTTTAGGAGACGTTTAAACAAGGTTTTTTAGTGGTAAAGTAATATTTAAAAATTTATTTATATTTTTCTTGTAATTACTTTCATGTGTACTACCACCCCTGAGATGGGAGTTGTTTTACAAAACCACATCCTGTATATTTATGAACTAGACTGCACCATTGCATGTTTTTTAACTCAAGGCATGAGAGTTTTTAAACTCTTGCATGGTTCTGCATTTGTTTGCAACGACCAACTGCATAGTGACCAGAATATTATAACATTAGGAATATGTATTCTATTATGTTACCAGTATTATTCATGCATATTGATTAAATAGTCACAAAATAAAATATGTACTTATTTTATCGGGATTTAAGGGATATTTTGTATATAATTAACAATGTAATATTTATATCAATCAATAAACAAATTCTAACAATGTTGGCATCAAGTTCGATATCAAAAGAATCAAATGATGTTGAAAAATTGATTGGCCAAAGAGTGCCGACTTAATGTTGGTATCTCACGCATGAAATCTATAAAGGTATTTTTTAATAATCAATCAGAAATAGATATGTCTTCCATTTTTACCAAAATACTCCCCGATAACGACTCGACCTTTTTCGGTATGCGTAAAAGGTGACATAAAAAGCAACGAAAACAATTAATGGAAAATGTAGTGTATTAAAATATCATTTAGGCCCAAGCCACTAAGCCAAAAGCTTCGCTTGGTGCCACGATTTGGTGAGTATTTTGTCACCACGTTCAGAAAAACCACAGGATACAACAGTCCATATTTTAGGGAATCTGGTTATGTCATAACTTATGAGTGGTATGGAGAACCCTCAGTGTGCGTTTTACAGTGTGGCTGGCAGGGTAGTCATTTCGAAGAGCGGACGAAAAATGATTCGACGATTCACTGTACTATTTCAGCTTGGTGACTTAGTGATTCCGAGGGTAGAGAGAGACAGAGTTGGTCTAAACACCAAGCAAAACTCTTGACTGTGTGACTTGTGCCTTACATACGAAAGAGCGATCGATCGGGAAGAGCGACCGAATACATATTAAAATAGGTTTTTGTCACACATGTGTACTGATTATTTTCTGTGTGCCACTTTTACTTAAGGGGAAACGTGGGCAAAAAGCCAAAAAGCCCGCTGCGCGACAACCACAGAAGGCCCCAAAACGCGGAATTGTATGTTATCTTCCATTAAACAATATAAATGTTTTTAGTTTTTCGGAGCTTCGTGTCGATTTTTCTTTAGGGTGTCAAATGCGAACGAATGATTGTGACTATGCAAGCATGCAAAACTATCTTTGTGTCTTCAAATTTGGAATCGATGTTTTTAATTGCCTTTTTGTCTGCCTTATGTGTATTACCATAGATCGGAATAGGTTGAGAGTTCTGTTGTGATTAGGTCATAACTTTATAAATGGATAAGCTTCATTATCAGCCAAAGTTTATATTCTACCTATCAACACTACTAGAGACAGATATTTTACATGAATTCATATTAATTTCTATCTCTAGCGGTTAAATTCCTATAGGATATAATTTTTTTTTCGATAATAAAAAGCGTGTCCATGATATTGATAAAGTTACGGCGTAATAAGCAAAGATATATTTTTTACCATTAATGATTAATATTTCATTACATTAAATTGCCTCTCGCAAACTTGCAACAAGTATAGGCAAGAACAATACCTTGACAATAAACTGAGATCAATGATCTGAACCATTTATTTTAGGCCAGTAGAATTAAACACAAAAATGGATTAAATCGGAAATAATTCCTACTAAAGATTTTAGTGCTTTAATGGCTTCATTAGTTGCCCATAAAGACTCTCCTAGGTTTTCGACTTCGACGGAGTTGTGCTTAACTGGTGGGGGACCCCGAAAGGGGCGCTTTTTAGGTTTTCCGGTTACACCGCGTAAAGGACTTACCCTATCGAAAAGTGGTCTTCCTGACGGTTGAAGGGCATTTAATCCTGCATTAAATAAGACTAAATTCATATGTTTTGAACAAACCGTTCTCGTGCAAATGTTCGGCAAAGTAAAAAATATGTGTATAATTAATGACCCTCTCCACGTCCAATGGCTCATTACCCGCAGGCGTCTAAGTCTTGAAAAGGAGCGCCTCAACCAGTGTAACCCTATCAAGGCTTACGAGCTGGATGCGCCTATCCTTGTTCGTCCCAGCCGTTCCTTAACTGCGGTTGCTGCACCTCTTCCTGGCACTCACCTAAACGACTCTGTGTTACCTACTGTGGCTGCCCCTCTTCCGTGTATCCTTTTGCACGACTACGTTGCCTAACCGTATGCCTAGTCTAAGGTTCGACGCCAAAAATCAACAACAACAAGTTCATATTAAAACGCTGAAGAGTTTTTTGTTTGTTTGTTTGAACGCGCTAATCTCAAGAATTACTAGTTTGATTGAAATAATTATTTTTCTGTTGAATAAGGTAAGTGCCCCCTACTTCGGTATATTAAGGCTCTTACAACTTTAACAATTTATTTAAAAATAACCAAGGATGATATCAGTATGAAAGCTTTTGTATGCTAAAGTTTGGTCTTTTGACAGTAAGTTAATACATAAATTATAGTTATATTGTTTAAACTTTTTTTAATATTAATTGTTCTGCGGACCTCTTGTTTGGATCCTGTTTCGTGATAAAATTTTGCTCTGTTTCTAAGTTCGTGAACTCATGTCCCCTATTTCGGGATAAAGTTTTACGCATCGAGTTAGGATATTTTAATTATGATTAAGGGTTTAATAAATTTAAAAACGATAGTATAAATTTAGAATAAAATAATTCTGTGAAATTGACGATATTACTTACTTCATGAGAAATAATGTGAGTCTGTCTAGCTAGGTAGGTACGTACCTTCGTATAAAGTTTTGATTTATTATTCTAACAATATGTAAAAATACAGTGTGAGTCACGTTAAAGTGTACATATGAAAATAGATGAAACTAGACCTATTTTTATCGACAAAAAAGAGGTCAAAATTTTTTTGAGATTTTTTTTAATTTTTTTATAGAATTTTTTTTCTTCCGATTACTTATTGTAAAGAAAACGTAATAACTTTTAAACTAAGCGGTATATCCTGATAAAATAAAAACAGTAATAATGCTAAATAACAGGCAATACTAAAAAAATACATAAAGTACACAAAAAATGCCAACAAACAATAAAAAATGACACTTTTTGAAAAAAATCTGCTTAAAAATTCGTGATTTTTTGGTTATTTGATAAATTTCTCAAAAAAATGCCCCTATAACATGTGGTTTTTATTACTTTGTATTATTTTCTATCGTATTACCTTCGTAAAACCAAAAATCGCATGTCTCTATCCCTATCACAACGTTTGCAATGATCGTTTGAACTAAGCCTCTCCGGGCGCGCCATTCAACGCTTCGTTAAGAACGAAACTGAAAATGGCTCTAGATTTGTAATTTTGATAAAGACAAGTTAGATTTCAAATAAAAACAAAAGATTTCGAAGTAAAATAAGCATTTTAGTTAAAATTAAAATTGTCTCTACCTGTAGCGGAGAATAATGTTGTGGCAGGCCTTTGTTCAAACGATCATAGCAAATGTTGTGATAGGGATAGAGACATGCGATTTTTGGTTTTACAAAGATAATACGATAGAGAATAATACAAAGTAATAAAAACCACCTATTATAGGGGCATTTTTTGGAGAAATTTATCAAATAACCAAAAAAACACGAATTTTTAAGCAGATTTTTTTCAAAAAGTATCATTTTTTATTATTTTTTGGCCTTTTTTGTGTATTTTATGTATTTTTTAGTATCGCCTGTTATTTAGCATTACTACTGTTTTTATTTCATCAGGATATACCGCTTAGTTTAAAAGTTATTACGTTTTCTTTACAATAAGTAATTGGAAGAAAAAAAATTCTATAAAATTTTTTAAAAAAATCTCAAAAAAAATTTGACCTCTTTTTTGTCGATAAAAATAGGTCTAGTTTCATCTATTTTCATATGTACACTTTAACGTGACTCACACTGTATTTATATAACCATCAGAAATGTAGGGGGGCCTTAAAAAGTATTAATAATTACGGTTCCTTGTTTCGTGATACTGATTATTCCAAATTCCCCAAGTAAAATTCATGGATTATTGTCAAATTGTGTCAATTAACTATTATCTATCCCATATAAAATACAAATAAACCAAGATAAATAAAACGAATCGAATTAAAACCAAAATTACGCTGGTAGTACTTATGCTAATTTATCTTAAAATTGGTCATTTATGTAAACTTCAAACTCGTGTCATATAAATTCTAGTGAACGAAACATATACCGAATTTAGATCATGAGAAACTTAAATAAATGTATTATTTGATTCATAAATTACATTTCAATTATCATAAATAATTATTTAAAAACCAAGCATCAAAATATTATCCATAATATCCTTGATTCGGTAGTATCCCGAAACAGGGGACACCCGAAAAATAATATGTACGCTATTTCGTGAGTCAATTAATCGCAATTTTAAAGGAATTCTACGTTTTCATATAACTTTTTTCTAAGCCAAATAAATTGTCAAGGAACACATGAAACCACTATTACAAGTGTTATGCAAATGGACGTTTCTTCGCCTTTTTATAAGCTTAAGAAGTTGGAGCGCTAACCTTACGGTGAGAGCAACATTTTCACGCCGCACGGCTGTTTTTGGCTCTCTGTGAGTTTGAAGCTTCGTATTGCTCTCATTTTTGGCGCCACAATGTTGGTACTTGGTTTTTTAGATAGCTTAACCTCTCCTATGCTTTGTCTCAGATCTGTGCAACCTCTGTCAACTGCTATGTCTCAGATCTAAGACAAGACTACTTTGTCATTTGAAACATCATTTGAAAACCGTAGCAGTTGGCGGGTGCAGTTTTGCGCGGCTCAATAGCACGCCAAAGGTTAAATAATAGAGTTTTTGTAGTAATAAAGAATTTTTATAAATAATATTCCATTTGCTTATTATTTGAGCTAGAAAAAAAACTTACGAACTTACGTACTATCACGAACTAGTAGCCGTTTACCTTATCTCATAAATTTAGGAAAGATATAGGATATATACAATCACTCTACGACTAATAGAGGCGAAGCAGTAAAGAAAAATGTTGCAAGCACGGAAAATAGTATTTAAACTGAAGTTGATTTTGTGGCGTCGAACCTTGGACCAGGCATATGGCTAAGCAATGCAATCGTACAGGAGGGTACAAGGAAGAGGGGCAGCCACATTAGGTAACACAGAGTCGTTCAGGAGAGTGCCAGGAAGAGGTGCAGCAACCGCAGTTAAGGAACGACTGGGACGAACAAGGATAAGCGAATCTAACTTGTGAGCCTTGACAGGGATACGCTGGTTAAGGCGACCCTTTACAAGGCTTGGGAACCTACGGGTGACGAGCTATTGGATGTGGAGAGGGTCATTAATTATACACATATTTTCTACTTTGCCGAACATTTGCACGAGAACGGTTTGGCCAAAACATATGAATTTGGTCTTATTTAATGCAGGATTAAATGCCCTTCAACCGTCAGGAAGACCACTTTTTGATAGGGCAAGTCCTTTACGCGGTATAACCGGAAAACCTAAAAAGCGCCCCTTTCGGGGGCCCCCACCACTTAAGCACAACTCCGTCGAAGTCGAAAACCTAGGAGAGTCTTAATGGGCAACCAATGAAGCCATTAAAGCAATAAAATCTTATGTAGGAATTATTTCCGATTTAAAATTTAATTCTACTGGCCTATTTGTTCAGTTTTTTTTTTCTGGAAATGAAAATTAAGTGTTTTATGTTTATTTGTTTTTATCACTTATCAATGTTACTTATTTGTGCCAGAATGAATCATAGCTTACTTCATCCAATCAAACACCTTCATTAAAGTAGCCACATTTAATTAAATTAGGACACATTATCATCTTTCCCACCCTTATATCAAAACGACCTATTCCGATCTAGTGTGCTTTTTTATACTTTCTCAAACAAAAAGGGTTGATTCTACTGGTCAAATGCAACAATTCTACTGCTCAAATCCCAGGAGACCGAAGTACAAATATTACCTTTAGTATGGGGATGTCAATGAAAAGTGGTCGCATTTGAGCAGTAGAATCAATCCTTTTAGTTTGATCAAGTATAAAAAAGCACCCTGTTTATGAGACCCTCAAAGTAGTGCCGAAGCTTATATTGTTGTCGCGCGGTGTATAGGTGTCGGCCAACAGCCTAAGCTCGCCGCAGCTGACGCTGCAGGCGCCGGGCACCGTCGGCCTCATCGCGGCGCCGGTTCAGGGCTCGGTGCTGCCGATGCAGCCGCCGGCCACGCTCGTGGCTCACGTCAAGACTGAGGATGACAAGAGCCAGATGGCGCCACCGGTAAGAACCTTCTTTATATTATCTTATGTTGGCGATTGGAGCTAAATAACTCGAGATAAAATATAGTGTGGAGAATACTGTATTTTTTATAATCTATCGAAATAGTGATGGTAAAGACATCAAACTAACGTCTTACTTCTCAGCTGACAAACGTCTACTGCTGGATGTAGATTCTGGCTTCACAAGAGTTACAGCGGTGGAGACGACAGGTCCGTTGCTACGGGACTATTCCCACCTCTCGTTCCCACCACTGCAACTCCTGTGTAGCCAGGATCTACAGCTTGACCGCCACAAAAACCCAACCAATGAAGGTCAAGTTTGCCCCGGGGGAAAGTTAAACTGTCATTGGACCCGCAACGAAATTAATCAGAAGAACATAGGAGGAGTTCGAAATTAAAGAACAATTTAGTCCCGCTGCTAGTTGAATGCTCTTCCCAAGGATTACCACAACAATCGGTCCTGTGCTGCTCGCGTCTAGGTGGGAAGCCAGCCTACATTATGTTCCCCTGCGCGTGGTCGGCCCTATAGAACTTTTAAGAAACGCGCGAAACGCGTGTGGTGCATTAGATGGTGAACAGTAGCTTCTTGTACCAGTCAGCCTTATCGCACCGGTCCAGTACCGATCACTGACGTATGTAAACGAAACGGTGCTCGACTCTGAGACAAGCTAAATTACAACATATTATTGACGACATAGATAAAATAGAGAAACACGGGTCTCAACACGACATTTTTATATAAGTGTGTGTGACCCGTGTTTCTCTATTTTAGTTGAAATGAAACGCGAAAGTTTATAATTGATAGAATAAATAAAATTGATATTTTTTACCGACGGCTTAGCAAGTTGAAGTGGCAATAGGCAGGGCACATAGTACGCAGAACTGACAGCCGATGAGGTAGCAAGGTTCTGGAGTGGAGGCTGCGTACCGGAGAACGCAGCGTGGGATGTCCACCCACAATGCGGACCGACGACATCATAAACGTAGCAGAAAGGCGCTGGACGCAAGCCGCTACCAACATGGAAAGCATTGGAGGAGGCCTATATTCAGCAGTGGACGTCCTATGGTTGAGATGATAAAAATGTCTGAACATTTTTTTAAGTACCTTTACGAAGAAAATTTTCTGTACGTATATAGTCTGGTCTGTGAGCACGTAGAATTTTGTCCAATGACCCCAAGCTACCCATCCTTATCGCTCGCGTGTAATTATGTTGCTGTCGCGCTCGCACACTCACTGCGGGCGCCTGTCGCACAGTCGCGACAGTAATAAAATTACGCGCGAGCGATAAGGATGAGTAGCTTGGGGTCATTGGAAAAAATTCTACGTGCTCACAGACCGGGCTTTAGTACATATTATTCTGTGCCTTAACTAATAGTGTTGTGGCACCCAGGCGCCGGTGCAGCAGATCGCGCCGCAGCCGATGGCGGTCGACGCGGCGCCCGAGCCGGCCAGCGCGCCGTTCAGCGCGGCGCCTGCGCCAGACACCCCGGCCTCCGCCCCTGTCTCTTCTGCTGGTCAGTACCACACTAAAGCCTTGTCAAATCATATCAGTTTATTTGCGTGAAAAGTGGTCTACAGTTGTTACAATATTAAAATGTCCGAACAGTCCACCAGAAGCTGGCATGCAAATACTGTTAACATCATAAAAATAAATAAATAGCCTTGGACATTTTTACACGCTTCTAGACCCAAACTAAGCAAAGCTAGTACTATGGGTACTAGACACCGGTTATAAACATACTTAAATACTTTTTTTTTTGTAAATACATACATACATATTGACACCATATCACCACCATATCATATTTACTTGTTCGCACTAGTCGAGTAATTTAATTATTTACAGTAGAATCTCGATTATCCGGACTTCGATTATACGGATATCCGATTATCCGGACTCATTCCTCACAGTTCTAATTACCAATTTAGGGTCTGGACCCATCAAAACGGCAAGGCGCCGCCACCGTAACACGGTACAGACGTGTCTTGGTTCATTGTTATAAGAAATGGATTCATCCAATGGTCTAAAGTGATGTATTGGAAACCTTTTCTATTGTTAAAAGTTAATTATTGTTTGATTTTACTTTGAAATCGATTATCCGGATTTTCGATTATCCGGAACACCCCTGGTTTTAATTGATCCGGATAATCGGGATTTTACTGTACTTACAAAAATTTTCGAGTACGTTACTAAATCGTTTAGTCGAGCCAATCCATTGTGTTCTATTTTGACAGGCAAGTAAATCCCTTTCCGAGTTGATAAGTGAGCTATGATCCTAAAAGACCAACTTGGCAGGGAACATCTGACGTGTATACGTCACCGTAAAATTGTGAATTCCGTCAGATTATAATCTGACGTAGTTAAATTGCAATCTAACCAAACCTAACCCACTGTTAGTTTACAATCTAACGCGTTATATTATAACCTGACAGAGTTCACAATTTCACGTTGACATAATACACAACACAAGTCTCAAAAATTGTCGAACGATGCGTTATTGATACAACTTCACTGTCAAACATTGTCCTTAACCTCGTGTATGCTTACAGAGTTCCAGCGCGCATCGAGCGCCACAGTCACGACGGAGTCCAAGCAGGTGACGCCAAAGACCGAGACGGCGCCGGCCACGAGCTCAGAGCCGGCGCCGGCGCCGCCCGCGCCGCCCGTGCCCAACAGCGCGCAGCAGACCACGCCCGTCGCGCCGCAGGTTGGCACCCGGGGCGGTCACCCCCCCCCTCTCCCCCTGTCATAAGTCCTATGGCACCCCCTACCCCCCAGGATTTTGGGGTAAAAGAAGATAGACCGCAGACTTGTCATGGCAGATCCGCTAACAGGATTTTGGGGTTACCTACCGATTCGAAGATTGAAAGACAGTCGCACCCCCCCCCCCNTAATCTGCGCGACTTGTGTCACCCCCTGAGGCTTGTCACCCGGGCGGACCCCCCCCCTCCCCCTTACGCCGCTACTGCCTGCACCACCCCACACCACCTCACAAGTTGAAGTGGCAATAGGCAGGGCAAATAGTACGCAGAACTGACGGCCGATGGGGCAGCAAGGTTCTGGAGTGGAGGCTGCGTACCGGAGAACGCAGCGTGGGATGTCCACCCACAAGGCGGACCGACGACATCATAAACGTAGCAGAAACGCGCTGGACGCAGGCCGCTACCAACATGGAAAGTATTGGGGGAGGCCTATGTTCAGCAGGGGACGTTTTGTGGTTGAGATGATAAAAATGTCTCAACATTTTTTTAAATACCTTTGCGAAGAAAACTTTCTGTACGCCCCCCACCACCTCACACCACACCCGTTAGCACCGATACTAGACTAGTGACTACTTTCGGGAAACTTTAGTATCAATCGTACGTAACTACGAAAACAACAAGCTAAGTACTTTTCACGATGATTCCTTCAGTGCCTGAACTGTTGGTCAACTTTGCCTGCAACCAAAACTGCTACGGAACCAACATTTTTCAGCGAAATCATTTCTTCCTGCAAGATCTAGGGTTTAGACAGATATGCAAAGGGCCACCTGAAACCCTCACGCTTTGCAGACTCGGCCTGACATCTAGACAGGTTCAACCATCGCTTACGCGCCGAAGCCGTGCTGCAATTTTAAGTAACTCACCGTTATCTGGGACCTTCATTGTCACACAACTCAATTGCGAAACAGACGAGCTTTGATGGTTTAATTTTGCAGCGCCCCAAAACCCCGTGGTCGGGAGAGAAAGTTCACTCCACGAGTGAGGACCCTCCCCGCGAAACCGCGCGCAAGCGTCCGCCCGCCAAGGGGAGTAGGACGTCGTACAGAAAGAAGGATGCAGTAAGCTTCCGTCCCAATACACGTTAATTTAAAATATATGTTGTATTTCCCAACTGTCGCAAACACTCAATCATTTCATGAAATGTATTACAATTACCAGGGTCTTTTCAAGGAAAGATTAAATTGGAATCGATCTTTGCCATGACCCCGCAAGTATGTAATACTATTGCTTCTCATAACGGACTGTGTCAGGTATGATTGAGTCAACTGCCAGTACGTTACGAAACAGCTGTTCCATAAACATTTCTTCCTTATTTTGTTCCGGTACGAAATAAAGATATTTCTAAAGCACAATCCACATTAAAATAAGCTAACTTGGCTTTCAGGTAGCCTGTGCTAACATGTGGGCTAGGCTGAAGTAATATCTGCTTTCGCATCGGAAACTTTCGTTTTGATTGGATGTCTTTTGTTTTGAGAAACTTCTGGAGATGTACCGACTAGGAAACTCACGATCACGGACTCAAAACCTGGAGCGCGCGAATTCCAAAATTTCATTAAATCTTCTCGTATTGTTTGACGCTAATGTTATTAAACTATAAGGAATCAATCGTCAGCTAGGGCGAATTTACTGGCCGATTGTCGGCTAGTCGGCCTATTTGTCGGCTAGTCGGCACATCTCTTTGTAGTTGACGCCAACAGAATTTGTCGATTTTGTCAATTAGATAATTATTACAATGTATACAAACATTCACTTAAATATTTGTGTCAACATAATTATTTCAAATGGCACCTGAAAAAAGGCATAAAAATGGGCGATGTTGATGCTTGTCACCATGTTTTATTACATTCTTTTGGCGTAAACTTTATTATATTTTTTTGAGTCAGTAAGTTTTTGTCGATTGTCTCTTTCTATGATTTTCATTTTAGCGCTTTCTTTCTTTCTATTGGTCGTTGTCTATAATAATATACGTCAATTCAATTATTTCAATTGGACCACTGACACCGTTAATAATTATTGCAAGTCACAATGTTTATAGAATTTCGTCTTCGTTCCTTCATCTTTTAGGTCAGAATTAGGTTGTTGTTGCTTTTAATGTATGCGTAGTTAGTCAATTGACTTTGCCTACAATTTATATCATAGTATTTTCTTGCTACCACAAGATCTAAAATCGAATTTTTACATCTCGTAAGAATTTTGTGTCAATTTCATTGGTGTCATCTACCCATTGAGGGCTACCGTATTTGCGCCATCAGTGAAAGGTCATGTTACTCGCTAGTGACGCCGATGACGAGTGCTAACACGATAGTAGGACTATCGCATTTGCACCCATTAGATGGGCGCCACTGGAAACTAAGGTTGTATTGCTCGCTAGTGGCGCCAAATATTGAACTTAAATACGGCAGCCCTCATAGAGGTGGGAGTTCTATGTGCTATTAAAGGTTTCCTCATAGCTTTGGGACGTCTATCTTACGTGTGCTGTGACAGCAGGTGGTGACGACGGTGGCGTCCTCTACTTCCGCGTCGTCCACGATGACGGCAGCGATCACAGCGCCGGTGTCCGCTGGTGGAACCACTGCGCTTTTCAAGTCTTCGCAGAGCGCTCCGAGGCACATGAGCCAGCAGGCTTCGCATGGTATGTAATTCGTACAACACTATTATTCACAACAGCTCTCGTTTTCAACACTGTGACTCCTGTTGACTTATGTGACATTTCATCCGAAGATATCTCATCCGCGGATGAGTTGTCTCCCTTTCAAATTTGTTAGGTGTCGAATCATCCGCAAAATGATCAAAATCTTCGCATGAAACGTCACCGTTTCAAACTTGGAAGTGTCGTCTCATCCGAAATATATTAATAAATTAGATCTATCTTCCAAGTTAGAAACGGTGACGTTTCATCCNGAATCATCCGCAAAATGATCAAAATCTTCGCATGAAACGTCACCGTTTCAAACTTGGAAGTGTCGTCTCATCCGAAATATATTAATAAATTAGATCTATCTTCCAAGTTAGAAACGGTGACGTTTCATCCGAATATAAATATTTTGCGAATGATTCGACACCTAACAAATTTGAAAGGGAGACAACTCATCCGCGGATCAGATTTTCTCGGATGAAATGTCACCTAAGTCCTCCTGTTGCCCCTCCAACCAACCAGAGCAGTGAATTCCTGCGAAGACCTGACTGCCTTGACACATGCACTGAATTGAATCTTAATAATAATTGTCGTGTTTCAGATAAAGGCTTACCCAAAGCCATGGTGAAGCCCAACATCCTGACGCACGTCATCGAAGGCTACGTCATTCAAGAGGCCGGAGAACCGTTTGCTGTGAGAAGTGTTACTATCTCTTTCTTAACCATTTTCGTAGTTAGATGCATGAATTAACCTTTTTTAGTTGCATTTAACTCATCTCAATAAGGTTCATTGTAATTGTAAACTTTTGGCAATATTGCGAACTATTTTGGATTTTGTTTTGTACTATTATGAGTTATCAATCATCAAAATTTGCGTCATTGCTACAGTCATTTGTCGATCTGAAGCCAGTAAATCATTTCAAACATTCTTATAAAAACCGTCCATTTTACATTTCGTTCTTTACATGCAACATTATTCATTTACGAGGTAAAAATCAAGTGATAAGGAATTTCATCATCAGTGATTGGCTTCTCTCATTTTTTTTTTACATCCATACTTGTGTATTATGCACCCTATTAATATACAATTTAAATGCTTTTTGCAGGTAAATCGTCCTCTGCGCGAATGGACCGCTGATAAGGAACAAGACAAGGAGAACAAACTCCCGTCTTCCGACGAGCCACCGCGTAAGTTCTTTCTTTCTTCTCTCTCGGTTAACTTAGTTTCTCCTATTACTCCTTATTTATAATTTACGTTATTGTATTATTTCATTAGGGGCTGTTATTATTCAGTTTTATTAAATATTTATGACGTAAATTTTAACTCTCTTACTAATAAAAAGTTACACATGCGTTGAACAGTAGTTCCATAACAATCGTCACTTTCAAACACTGTTCAACGAGCGTGTAATTTTTATTAGTACGGAGGTATAGCTTTCAAATGAAAGTGTTTCTCATTCCTGAGACATCCACAGCGCCTAATCTTTCCTTTTATTTCTTTCCTGTAGTTTCCTTTTTCGTTACACAGAACCCGAAAAGCTTTTTACTATTGCATGGCCCCTAATCCTTATTTGCTCATCGCCATATAATTTCTTAGGAAAGAAGCAAATGCTAGACCCGGCTACTTTGAACATAGCGCGCATCACGTCGAGTAGCAGCGAGCCGGCCGGTCGCGAGCGCGAGCGGGAGAGGGAACGAGAGAGGGAGAGAGTAGAGGCGGCTCAGGTCGTCACCGCGAAGGCGTCGCCTAGCAACGAGCCGGACACCGCGACTAGCGACGACCAGGCGGCCAAGTTCCCCAACGCCAATAAGTGGACCGTAAGTCATGTCTATTACAGTCCATTTTATTTCTTCAGCATTAACTTTTCACAGCGCATATTTCCAATCAATACAATAACTCCATATTATCTTAAACTCATTATAAGTAACATTTAAAATAAAATATACCTAGTATTGTGACGTCATTGCCTAATATTCACTGGTGTTACACTGGCATACAAAATCTACTGTCGTATTTATGGGAATAAAATAAGACCAAAAATCATAATTGAGTTTTCAGTTGGCTGAAAATAAGTATACACATTGGTGTTTAATTTAAGCTTAGTTTGTCATATAATGTCAAAAATGCAGATTTTTTGCAGCAAATATAGCTGGATGGCAAATGACGTGCCGCGCAGCGCCATATCGCTCAATCACGCACCGACCTTTTTTTTTACAAATGCATGGGGTATGAAAAATTAACTCTATCGTCGCTTGCAGGTGAACGAGGTGTGCGAGTTTATCCGCAACATCCCCGGTTGCGCTACCTACGCCGACGAGTTCCTGATGCAAGAGGTGGACGGAGAGGCGCTGCTGCTCATCCGGCCCGAGCACCTGGTCATGGCGCTGTCCATGAAGCTCGGGCCCGCGCTCAAGATCGTGGCCTGCATCGACTCCTTGCGTCCTGAGGGCGAGCAGACCACGCACGAGAACGACTGAGGTGAGCGACTGCTGCAGACGAGGTCTCGTGCAGGAGTGGACGGAGAGGCGCTGCTGTTCATCCGGCCCGAACACCTGGTCATGGCGCTGTCCATGAAGCTCGGGCCCGCGCTCAAGATCGTGGCCTGCATCGACTCCCTGCGTCCTGAGGGCGAGCAGACCACGCACGAGAACGACTGAGGTGAGCGACTGCTGCAGACGAGGTCTCGTGCAGGAGTGGACGGAGAGGCGCTGCTGTTCATCCGGCCCGAACACCTGGTCATGGCGCTGTCCATGAAGCTCGGGCCCGCGCTCAAGATCGTGGCCTGCATCGACTCCCTGCGTCCTGAGGGCGAGCAGACCACGCACGAGAACGACTGAGGTGAGCGACTGCTGCAGACGAGGTCTCGTGCAGGAGTGGACGAGACTCGCCGCTGCTCATCCGGCTCAGTTGTGTACCTACTGCAATGACTAAAGATGACTCCGGGCTACTGAATAAAGCTTCATGCAGATGGTGGACTGCGACATAATCATCATTTAGTTTCCACTGCGGGAACACGTATCTCATCAATCACCACAAACAAATGGAGCCAAATCCTCCATGGGGCCAAATCAAATGAAGGATTTGGCCTGCACTGTGTGGGATGATCTGATGTGCGCATTATCCTCCCCTTTTAGACTTACGACATCCGCAGGAACAATGGCGATCCTATTCTACTCTGATGGAACTACATCTATACATATCTCTTCACACTTTCAAGTTATTTATTTATTTTGTTATTGATAGATTGACAATGATGATGATTGATACCCGAAACCGTTTACAAATAATACAAAAATACAACTTTTCTATCAGAATACATTATTCTGGTTAACTCATTTAGTTCTCAAACAACTAGCTGTATTTAGCCATGCCATCGACGATATTAACACAATATGTTTTTGTTTCAGATTTTGTTGCCTACTATCTGAACGCGGATCGAAACCTGTGAAGTTTTCGTAAGTGTTCATATATTACTCTTAGTGAGATAATATAAAAATGATAGTGGGCAACCTAAAACACTGGCTATACGAGCCGATCTAAGACTATTAACAGCGTACTTTATACTCTAAAAGATCTTCATGTACTATGACTTCGTAATATAATATTAGCTAATCTTAATCTACTTATACAGGGCTATTTGTAAAACACCAGCAACTTCGCAGTTAGATTAATTTGTTCTACGACTTTTGAAAATTCGTAGTTTTTTTTCGTACTTACTAAAATAAATATTAATTGATTTGACCGCTCCACTATTACTATGAGCTTGCTGGTGTTTTACAAATAACCTTGTATATTAAAATATATACAAACGGTTATATTATGGTATCAAACGCGTTCGCAATTCGTTATTTTAGTTTCTAAGGTGTCTTATTAAATAACAGCAATATCCAGAACAAATGCGGTTATTTAATAACTCTGCACCACATAGCTTTATTATTTATGAATTTTAGCATTTACGTTTTTTCTTGTGTTTATTAATTTGTGTAACATAAACTAACGCTTTTGTGTAAATGTAAAATTCGTCTAACATCGAGGCGAGACTTCGCGATAGTAAGATTCAGGTATAAACGAATTCAGTGAAGGAAATTGACTTCTTTGTGATTAAAGTTAAATTTTTAATATTATAACATCTAACGAAATCTAATTTTTCAGTAAAGAACATTTTAGCGTCTTTTTTAAGAACAACGAATCTAAATTTTATAAAATCTAGTATTTATGTGAGACAATATTAAGGCATAGGCTACATAAATAATTATTTCTAAAATAAATTTGAACAAAAATCGCAATTAAACCTACGAAATATTTACATTACTTAAATTATAAAGTCATGAATATGAAAAGACCTGGTTAATATGAAATATGGTTACGTGTTAGCTATGCCATTATTTTGTTTTTGACATCGATTGTTTGCCAAGTAACTAAACACTGGTTCGTTTCCTCGTTGCGCTGTCGTGAAACAAGCCTGAGGTGCATTAAGGACAAATGTCGAAAGGTCCGCCTACTTAGATATAAGCAAAGTACTCGGATTAATCGAACTACAACCCAGATTAATCTATGTAGCTATGCACTTATTTTTAGTTTTTTATTCGCGTTTTAAAATTATTTTAATTTACCTTTTATTTTACAAACAAATACAACCGATTGCTCTTTAATCTTTAGTATAAATATTAACGATGGATGTTGTATCAGGTTGTCCCATTATATTTATAAACATCTTAAAACACAACTGAACCTGGGAGTCAATTTTATAGTTCTTACTGGGATTTTGTCACATTTATTTGCATATAAAATTCACATGCGAATTCCTTATGAATTTATTATGAACTTATTTGTATTTTTAATTCCTTTTACCTTCGTATTTTTTATACCACGTATTAACAATTAATTATAAGTTATAATGAAATGTCGGTTTTAGGCTTTTAAAACTTAATTTCAGTCAGTTTTAAAAGCATTATCCCGTCGCGTTTGCTGTTGACTTAGGATATTTTGAATTGATTGCAATGACCCTTTGTTTAAAACTAATTGTCTCGTTTTTATTATAATGTTAATATATCGCACTCCCACGTGGTTGTCATTAAATTATTACTTACGGGACAACCTGTGTAGATTAGTGTATAAGTGATAATAAGTGATTTACCTTGTGTACTTGTATTATATTAATGTATGCAGTTATGTAAGCATACAGTGACCAGAACTGGGATACAATTAACATGTCTTAGGAACTGAACGAGACAATTGTGAAGGTGAAACCTTCGTACTCGGTTCAGGACGTCGGCTGTCCGTTGTACTCAAGCTATAGTTTAACAAACAACGGCATTGGTTAGACTCTGTCGCTAGCTTCCTTACGACGGACGGTAAAACAGTTGTATTGGTGCATCTCAGTAACTAATGCATCCGAGGCGTTTAAATTGGCTGCGTTTAAATGTTGCATTCGAGTGCAGGCAATCAATGAGGTGCACAGATCACGACTCGACAATTTTATAAATTATTATAGTTCTAAATAAATTAACTGTCTGTTAGTGGTTCAGTATTCAAGTTCGTTTTTACTAAGGGGTGAGTTCGAATTTTAGTCGATTGTATACTACAACCGCAGATCGCGAATTATAACAACATAACCCTCCTTCAGGCGCAGTCAGGTAATGACTCCTAGTCTGTGGTTGCACGCAAAACAGTAGAGTCGCTGTGTGGTCTGCGGTCAGTCCAACTCACACCTTAAGATCAACACTGTTATGAACTAATAAGTAAAATTAGTAATTTTATAGTTTAAGAGCGCGCGGCGTAACATCCGTATATTACTTACTTAAGTATTAAAATATTAATTAATCACTTAACTTTTATGTTGGTGTATATTCGTTTATATTATTATAGTTGTTGTAATATTTTAAAATGTTAGTAGCTTATAACAACAGAGGGGAGAATGTGCAACAATATTTTACAAGCCCCTTTAATACATAGTATCTCATTCCTTATGATTTTTTTTAACAATTTCTTACTCACCCATGAAACTGTAAAATCTATGGTGCTAATTAGTTCTACGTGTTGTCACGTACTTTTTCTTATTTAGTTAATTATGAGGGCTGGTAGAGTAAGTCGCGCCTTGTTATATTGCAAATGAGATCTATGTTTTGACGTTTTCTAAAACTACCTGCGGGCGTAATGAAAATGATTGGTCGCAGAGGTGTGTGTGCAATAGGCAATTAGACAGTAGATACGCGTCTGGTAATAAATAAATCTGTAATGCACATGAATAGAAAGAAACACACCGAAACAACTAGAGCAACCACATTCGTAATTTTTGCGTGATTTGCACTTCCAGCTCACATTTCGTAATGAAGTTACATTGTAAATATTTTAAGTTTAACGTCAATTGTAGTCAGGCCTCGTAAGCCGTCGCTGACCTCGGTCAACAGGCCGTTTACTTGCAAGACAATTATTTACACACATTTTTCAGGATATACATCGATTTTACTAACTGATTTTATTATTCATTATATTTCTTAGCAGAGTTTTCAATTTATACTAACAGTAACATTTGTATACCCGTACGTTGTAAATACTAGAAAAGGAAACATGTACTGGACACTTACACACGCTTTTAGTGCGATTTGTATATACTTATTATATTTTAACAATTAGATACCAAAAACAGGTCAGTACCTTATTAATATCATACAGTGTAAGTACTGGGAATTTAAAACAATTTTAAGAACATTTAATGTATAAATTTGATGTTTTAGATAAGTGTTCTGCAAACTGGATCCTTGATGTAATATGAACTATGTCCAGGTTGCTCTCGTAGATTCTCGCCTAAAATGTTTTATAATTCCCCAACTTCTGGCACTCTATCAAGGGGTGCGAACTATCGTGAATGTTAATATACCTAATACTAATAAAATAATAATACTTATCGTATTTATGTGGTAATGTAAAAATGTCGTTTTAGATTTACTTATTTGGTAACATTAGGATAACATAGTGAACGTCTAATTTGTACATTTTGAAAACGGCTCTCCACTGCCCTAACACAGCATAGTCACATCTGTAAATATTATTTATGTGGTTTTATTACTTTTAATATTAGTGAAGTTAATTAGCGGTAGTACTCCGCATTGTTGACGTCAATACTCTTATTTTGTAGTGGTTGGGAAAATGTTGGGTAGTTAGTTTTGTTATCATATGTTTTGTAACATCAAAAACGTTGCATCTAGATAGTTTTTGAGGATGCTATTATTTCTTAATTACTTTTTAATTGCAAAGATGCTATTCGTTTAAGATGTTCTTTTGTGAATGTACATCGATATGTACGGGCGTGACTAAACACTTGTGTAACTTGATAGATTTTGAATTGTCCAACTAACATTGCTCAACTCAACACTGATACTATTGTTCACGTCAAAATTAGGAAAAAATAAAGCAATTGAGACTGATATACATTTCTTTTATTACACTTTACCTTAAAGAAACAGTAATATCGTTTAAGCTACGAAAGTAAGTATATTTACATCGAAACGTCGAAAAGTTGAGGAAATGTAGAAATTATCTCGAACATAGGCACTTCTTAAAAAGTATTATAATCCCAGTTACACGTTGCAGTGCGCAGTAACGATAGTGCACAGCGCGTTCCAATAGCATCATTACCAAATTACATTCAGAATAGTTTCTCTAATGGTTTATATCATATCAACCTTACATGCGTCCTAGCCTAGATTAAGGTTCATGACTATGCAACGAATGTCAACATATACAAATTCATACAATCACATTAACAAAATCAAAATCAAAAATATTTATTCAGTTTAGACCACAAGTGGCACTTATGTGCTTAACATTACAGGCAACTCGTTTTTTATTCCACCAAAAGTGACCTTTAACGAAAATATAATCCCACTTGAATGCCACCTTAGTGATCTACTATCTTCTATGTTCATTCATTTGAAAGTCATAACGAGGCAATTACTATTTAATATTATTACTTATAGTAGGAAAAGGCTCCAATCATTGGTAAAATAAATTTAAAACAAAGCTCCACACGTCACAGCAATACTCCACTCGGGAGCAACTATAGACCATTTTGTACAAAGACATACATACATGCCAATCATTATCTAAAACCTAACATTACATGAAATGCATTGCAGCTTTGAGTTCCACCATTAATGGCAAAATGCTCGTGTTCATTTTAGTTTAAAAATAACATTTAAAAATAAAATAAATTCAACAATATAATAATATTCATCGTATAACAATTTGGAAATTACAATAATGTAAAAAATACGAAACCAATTTGGTTAATTTATTAGCCGCCACTGCTAAAGCAACCCTAAAATACCACACAATTGCAATAAAATTTGATATTTGACAACTATTTGTTTAAAAGATACAATAGACGTTGATGCTGATGGAATGAACGCGTGAAATCCGAAAAATATTCCATCTTTCCATAGTCCGTGTTTGGCTGACAAAACTGTGGTAGGGTTGATCTTCAGCAGACTGTATTAATAATGGGTTTTCTCTAGCAGTGCTGACAATTCGTTGTAGAGACTACGCGTAGTTGGGGAAGAAGGCGTCAGCGCGTGTGGGCTCCTCGTATCTGTACGGCGAATGGCTCAGGTCGTAGGTGGCTTTCACTCCCTTGGGCAGATCATGCAGAGGCCTCAGTTTCGGACTTTCTACAGTTTTCTGCAAAAACATGAGCCATTTATTCTTAGATTATTTGCAAAATATGCTCACTTACTTATTCATAACACCATTTGAAAGTCAAAATATTACCTAATCTTCGATTGTGTGGTGGATTTATAGTAAAATAATTTTTAGTAGTGAACAGAAAACGAAAATAATTATAAAACGTCTAACAATTGGCTTTGTCTAAACACAATAGGCATTATCTATTGATACGAGAGAGTAGGTATAGTCCACCTGTTCATTTTATTATGCTACGAAATTTATCATAATATAAACATTACCCTGTTGGCATCGCCGTAGTCCAGTGGCTTGCTCGCAGGCAGCGGCCTGATCATCATCTTGGTCTTCGATAGCGGGGAGTTGGGGGCTTTGAACGAAATCCAGTATATTGACTGGCCTCGGTGCTCATCAGTAGCAGTCGCATACTTGCCGTTCAAGTTGCTGAACAAAGGAAAGTGGCTTTTAAAATGATCTAGAGTCGTGGATGAGTGAATACTTGACATTTTGTCATTGTCGTTGATTCCCTAGCATATATTGTGTCCGCAATGGTGTCCGTGGATCAATGACCGTACAAGTCTGTCGGTTTCTGTGCGGCGGTGCGGCGATTCCTAGAGAGAGGCAAACGGTTACCTTTTATCGCACTCCTTGTACCACCAAGCACCGCCATGCTCGGATGCGCAGGCGCCGTCTTTCCACTCGTCGTTGTCCATGTCCAAGGTTGAAAATTTCTGACCAGCATGATAGGCCAAAGAATCACCTAAAATATGAATAATAAATTAATTCAGTTATTTTTGTGTTATTTGTATCCTTGGATTTAAAATAAAAATAAAATTGCTAATTTACGTTCTTAGTCCCACTTGGTATTAGAATTATTCTTATCTATACAAATTGGCATGGTATGGACAGTTCTTTACCTGCAGTGCCGTAATAGGTGCCAAGCGTGCTTATCCGGTACCCTTCGTGCTCGGGGCCGACTGTGAACACTGAGTACCCTGCGTACGCCTCTTGCCCGCGCTGGGTTTCCATCTCTACCCTCAATTCGTACAACTTCTGATTCGTGAGGTAGTTAAGCTTCTCTAGACCCAGCCAGAACTCACCGGCGAGGTTACCAAAACCGTGTTTGTAATCAGACCAAGTTTTGTAGAAATCTTGGGAGCCGTCGAATCGGTTTTGGAATACCTAGAAGTTGAATCAATGTTGTACAAATTCTAGCGGTTATGGAGAGGTTTAAACTAAAGTCAACAACTCTTAAAGTACATTTGCATGGGCATTTTCATGAAACCTGATGCGCTGGTCGCTACTAAACGTATTTCGAAAATTCGAGAAAGGTGAGGCCTGTTTTCCAAAAATGAGGGGTGTTTAATTGCTCTTTGGATCAACTTACCGTCCAGCCTCCTCCAGCTGTGGTGAGGTCACAGAGTACGTAGAACGGCTCCATGTCCTCGGGCTTGATCTTATAAATGCCGGACACGTTGAACCCTTGCATTTGGATTTCGTGGCAGTCAGTGGGATACCTCTCAGATCTGTCAAACCTTCCTCCGCTCCTGAAGAGTAAGATAAGATGCAATTTTGTTTTGATATTCTCAATCTGTTTCATAATACTTAGTTGACCAAGTTAGTTGACTTACTTGCATTCACACTTCTTTGCTTTTTGTTCATGCAGCGTCCTTCTGAACTCGTTGATCAGACCGAGCGCGTCCACTACTCCGGGGGAGCCCGTGTCGGCTCTGAGAAGATTTAAAAGGTCACGATTTGTGGTAAGTTTAAATTTTAGTAGTGATGGTTGATAAACTGTGCAATCGGAGCTTCTTTGGAAGCTTGGGTTAAAAAAAACTGGCGTGAAATCAGTTGTAGCAGCTATTGTTAAAGAATAAACTGTCCAAATAAAAAAAGTCCGGAAAGCTTTCCAGGTGAAGCTTGTTTCCAACAGGTGAGATGCAAGCCAAGACCTTCCTCGTTGTGGATAAAAAAAGGTATAAGTGCAGGTAGAACCACATACTTGGTATAGGTCCTGGACGTCTGTCGATTCTTGACTTCTGCGATGGTTGAGATGATGGAGTCCACGCCAGCCACGACGCTCTTCAAGTTGCCCTCAAGGACGCTGAGGCGAGTATCCAGATTACTGTCTCCGTGAAACTCCGATCCTTCCACTGAAAAAAAAACATTTGCGTTTGTGCATTCTAGAGTAGGCGCACACCGTTGATTTTTCGTCGGCCGATAGTTTAGTCGGGCTGTTGATCAGTATGGGCATGTATGGGAGTGCGCACACTACGCCGATTCGATTTGGCCGATTCTTCATACAATTTGAAATCGGGCACAACTATCGGCCAACTAAAAATAAACGGTGTGCGCCTACTCTAAAACAGACAAACGTGAGAAACTAACTAGGGTAGGTCTATGGTTCAAAATAAGATTTAATTTACCAAAATTGTTAAATCATCATCATCTAACTTGAACAAGAATAACAATAATTAAAATGTTTATTCAATTAGAAGTGAATGTAACTTTCAAATTCAATCAATCTAAGGAATTTAACTAATGTCTCAACTATGCAGATCTACTTAGTTAAATCTACCACGCCGTTGGATATTCATCATCATAGGTTAAATTGCAAAGTTCATTTGCAAGTGATAATCATCATATTATTATTCTACCTTATTAATACTCGATAACTTATATTCCTAGCTGCCTAATTATGTATTAACTAAATAAGTACCAACTGTTTTGAAGTCACTATTACCTAGGTACTTACGAAAGGGCTTACGAGCAAATGTTAAAACTATTATGTGGGTACTCACCTCTATCAGCTTCTCCACTTTTTTCTTTAAATAAAACAAGTTTGTCTAACTAATTAATTACGTATTAAATCTAACTACATTTTCTAAATACATAGGCAACTACTATCTCAAAGTTTTTAAGTTCGGTTTTAGAGTTAGGTGGATCATCTTCGTCATTTCATTACTTCTCACTTGATCTCAAATATTTTATTGGTAAATAAGTAAAACAAATTTCAACGAACACAAGTTGAATGCATTGAGATGCAGGTAACCTAAGTTTTTAATTGCTATCTATGATGCACTGCTAAAATACATTTAGGTACTTAACATTCACAATGATTAAACGAGCTAAGTAAAAATGCTGTAGTAGGTAGGTGTGGTGCATCAGAATGTGATGTTTTGTTGTGCATGTTCACGAACTTTTTTTATCACACTGTGGTAGTATTGTTACTATACAAGTTCCAGGCTCATTAATTTAAATTTGTTAAAATCTGAATACACTTTAACAATTACTCAATGGATGGAAGTATGGAAAGAGAACTACGTTTTGAAAACCTAGGATCGTCTTCGTCGTTACCAGCATTGGTAGACCGTGGGTTTTTCTCCAAAATAAACTTAATTTGGTTCACTTCTGTTTTTAAAGTATCCAAAACAGTTTCCAATTTGTCAGGATATGCATCGTTTCTAATAGCTTTCATGATTTCCATCAACTGCTTCAATATGCTGTTTGTCTTCTCGTGAACTTCGATGTCCAAGCGATTCAGTCTGAAGTCGATGCTATCCACTTTCTTAAGATATTTCTCGCTTGATGTTATTGTTTCCATTAATTTGTCGATTACAGCTTCGTTATCTGATGAGGCTGCAGACTGGACCACTCGAGTAATGTTGTCCCTTTTTCTGGTGGACAGCATGGCATCCGTGAGTTCATCTTCGTATTCTTTCTTCCACAGGGATTTATCAGGGTAGTCGTTTTTTCTTCTTGATCTTTTTTCCCTGGCGGCTTCACAAAACGCGGAAAGCGCTATGAGGACGGGCACGATCAGTGTCAGTGTGACCATCGCGAGATGTGACTTGACCGTGAACCAAGATGTTACTGTCGCGTCTGCGTGAACCATCTGATTGTCGTATAAAAGAAAGTTTACAAACTGCGATTGTGCTAAATAAAAACAACTGAAGAATACTTTACCCGTGAGTCTTCAGCGTGAGTGATTCGCACAGATTTTTCTCACGATTGTTTACATACGTTAGTATCGTCTTAACTATAACTATTGATATGTTTACAAACTTCTATCGAGTACCGTGTGCGATGTGGTTGTCCGTCATAATAATGTGTCTGTCTATTAGATTGCGCTACTTACATTCCCATGTTGGCTTTACCGGCCTATTAAATATTATTAAATATAGATCAAAAAATTAAATTAAAATTAAATTAATCAAAAAAATAAAAATTAAATTAAATATAGATCAAAAAATTTTTTCATCATCATCATCATTTCAGCCACAGAACGTCCACTACTGTACATAGGCCTCTCCTAATGTTTTCTTAGTGTTTTCCATTGGGAGGGAAATTGCCAGTACTTACTCGCCACGCGCTTGGCAGGCAGAGCCCCGATTACGGTAACTTTTAACGTCTACAATCCGGACACGCTTCATCGACGCTGCGATACGATTGGTCGAAACAGCTGACGTACGCTGTTGAACGACCAATCGTATCGCAGAATCGAGAAGCGTGTCTGGATTGTTAACGTTAAAAGTTACCGTAATCGGGGCTCTGGTTTGGCATCGATGGCGAGCGCAGTTTTTATAGATTTCGTTCGCAGACGCTGCTGCCTAGCTATCTCGTGCTACATAATTTAGTCGCCTCTTACGAAACGCCTCCCGTTGGCGGTGGGGAATGGTATTTTCTATGACACGCGGAAAAAAATTGATTTTATTAATTTTGTTATCAGGTGACGTGCATTTGATATTGATAACTTTAAAGATAATAAGAATACCAACTTATTCGCCAGGGCATTTATTTGATGCCTGCTTAAGGCAAACTCCAACACAGACCAAAAAACCGATCGGGGCTCATAGAAATATCCACAAAATAGATTCGCTGGGGACGAAAGATTGCCCTCAGCCGCAGCAGAAGTCGAAACCGGTGCTTCCTGGGCCCGGCCGAATTTCTAGCCTCATGGAAGTGGACGCGGGGGCGTCCGCTTCCTAACACTGAGGCCCGAAGTGCGCGCGGAGTCCCACTCGCTTTGGAAAGGGGACCCCTTAAAGGGGAGCGAGGCTGCGGCAATTGCGTGGGGGCAGGCATGCGTTGTCGCGGAAGTCTAAGGTTACGGCCGGATACTACTCGCGACACCCCCACTCGGGCGATGACGGAACGCCGCGGAGGATTTAGTGGGTATACCCCGCCCTTTTCAGAGCGCCGGGAGTCCCACACACCACCCTGACTCCGACAGTGGTGACGGTGCGCAAAGAATTTCCGCCGCGACAAAAAAAAAAGGGTCAGGCATGCGATCAATTTACCGATTATCGTATGCTGCTGGACCCGACTGGTTTTTAGTGGGCAGGACTCGCTCTCCTGGCGAGGAGAGCCCCACATAACTCATCGGCTTCCCGGGCTGGTGAGTAGGTACCTAGCTATGCAGTTTCATGCATTATCCAGTCGAAAAAAAAGTACAGTCAGCGTCAAAAATAGTTCGCAACATTAGTGTTAAAACTTTTTGTCCACTTTAGGTGTCACGAACTGTTAGACGCTGACTGTCTATTATGTGGCAGGTAGGTAGGAATATGGGGCACGAATTAACTAAGATCTGAGTAAGTAGGTAGTGTTATTTTTTAGAGATTTATGAAATAAATAAACCCTGCTAGTCCCCTATCAAATATCGACATGTGAAGGAAGTTTCCTTCACATGTGTGGTTAAATCCAGTTGGATTTAACCACCTTCTTAAATATCCACCCACTCTACTCTTATCCAGGTAGCTAAGGATTAGGCTTTTTGTTTGATTTGATATAATTCCAGTCACTAGAGTAGGTACCTATATCGCCTGATTAATATAAAGTTGAATAAACAGGCACACCGCACATGTAAACTAAAGTTGTTTAGTTCTTCAGCTTGCGTTCTGGCAATACCACAATATGTATCGAAATTGTGAGTCTAAATCCTGAACAATTTCCTTGTGTCTGTGCAAAAATAGTTTTCAGCTCCTCCAGGTCTATACAGCTCACACAATGAATTTCCCTAAGTATTTCAATTAAACTATAAAACCTACTTACATAGAAGATTATCGCCACGCATCTTGGGTGCCTCCATCCTTTCCATGATAGTGCTCTTTAGCTTATCCAAGTCGCCCTTAAGTGACTTAAGGGCATTTTCTAACATGCTGGCAGGCGACGATTTCACCATTCTTAGCAGCTCTGCTAAATACTTTAAAATACTGTTAGACCTCTCATGGAATGTTGTGTCCAAGTGGTTGAGTTTCTTTTCGACTGTCTCAACCATTTTCAGGTATCGTTCGCTGGACATAAGCGTTTCCACAAACTTCTCCACTACGGCTTCTCCTTTGGGTCTTACGGTTGTAGTTGGCACACGGGAACCATTTCTTCCATAATACAAATCATCAACTTCTTCATTGCTTCTATCGTGAGCTCTATGGTTATAACCATCTCTTTTTGCAATGGCCACTGCAAACAGGAAGGTGAGCACCAAAATATTCTTACACATATTGCATTAGCCTGCGCTCGGCACCACAATACCAAAGATAATGAGCACTATCCCACACATGTTTAAGATGTGGTCAAGTTATTATAAAACATTTAAGCTCGTACAGCACCATTGTTACTGAATGTCACAATGTGTTGTTTAAATATTCTGTCCCGGCGAAATTTTAAACTTAACTCATCAACTGTTAAACTCAGCTACCTACTTCCTACATAGTGATGAACACCTTAAAAGTTTGTGGTAAAACTGGTAAGTCAAGTTAGATATCTAGACGACATCTCATCAAGGTAAGTACAAACACTGTAGCATCAGTAGCATACCTAACTTAGTGGTTGCTGATGGAACTATTTTGCAAATTGTAATACCTACTCTGACGTTCTGTTGATTGTAGCTGTAAATACCTAGATTATTAAATGCCAGTAGAACCGTAGTACTTATTATATTCTGTGGTAGGAGTAGATTTGAAATCGGAAATAATTTCTACAAGAGGTTTTATCGTTTTGATGGCTTCATTCATTTGTCGCCCATTATGATTATCCTAGATTTTAAACCGGTTGTTGTTGATTTTTTGGCGTTCAACCTCGGCCCAGAATACGGTTAGGCAACGCAGTCGTGCAGGAGGGGACAAGTAAGAGAGGCAGCCACAGTAGATAGCACAGTCGTTCAAGAGAGTGCAAGGAATAGATGCAGCAACAGCAGCCCTAATTTAATTTTTTTTAAGTTTTTGATACCTACTGTAAGTCTTTTACGAGGCATGGGGGGCCACCACCACGTAAGAGCAACTCCACCGCAGTCGAAAACCTAGGATAGTAGTATTAGTGGGAAACGATGAACCCATCAAAGCGATAAAACCAAACCTTTTGAAGAAATTATTTCCGATTTGATTCTGGTCATTTACACCTACACAAAGATTACAGTGTTTTGTAATAGGTACGTAAAATTGAATAACATATTGTTGTGCTGCGCAACTTGCTCTTTTGCAATGGACTTTAAACCACGGCATTTAAAATACATAGTTTTATCACAGTAGATAAATCAAACAGTACGGAAGCTTCATACAAACGCTCGAAATCAGACTCACGCACACAGACGCACGCTTTACACGAGCTCTAAGCGAACCTCGCAGTCCATCCGTCGCGAGTGTCGCGCGCGTTGTGTTTTTAATAATAATTTTATTGCGTGCGCTGTCCGCTGTATTTTTACCCGACTACGGCAAAGCAAAAGGAGGGTTATGATTTTGACAGGCTATGTATGTATGTAGGCGTAGTCGCACGTTACATCAGTACCTACCGTAGCACTTTGACAACGTGTGACTGCGGTTTTCCAAACATGAAAATTACTATGCAACTACATTAGCAACTTTGTTCAGTTCAGTATTCTGAAAATCTTGTTTTATACTTTTTCAGCGTCGTTTTTTGTCGTAGTTGGGTTTTAGTTTTCTTATTAAAAAACATGCCACGAGTGTATTGAGTAGTATACGGCTGCTTGAACTCGGCATCTTCAAAACCAGAACTTTCATTTTTTAAACTTCGTAATAATTCTGAATTGTAAAAATGATTAAATATTACTTTTTAAATAAAGTGCTTACATCTGATTTTGTAATAGTTCTTTTTAAATTACGTAATTACGCTTTTTAACAATTTATGTGTTCTATTTGATAAAGTAATTTGCTCCGCGCGCTTTTGTACTAAGTGATGAACTGTATTTAAAATGAGGCAATAGCTATGTGAAAGTAAGTATCCGGTATTTTATTTATGAGAATAGAATATCTTCTACCGGCCGCGGCCTCTAATAGTACTTAATCAATTTATTCGATTATGTATTCGATCATTATAGAACCTAATTAACATTTTATTTTTTTGTTAACTACTTAGTCAATTAATTTATTCCATTAGGTATTTGATAATTAAAAAACCTAAATAAACATTTTAATAAATAAGTAAGTCAGAACCTTATTAATTTTATAAAGATTAAGAGTGCCAACCCTAACACTCAGTTGAAGTGTAGGTATTTAACTCGCCGAAAGTGCTAAGTTTCCGTACTGCTTTAGCTCATATATCTACTGTGGTTTTATCCTATCTAATCAACATTGTTGTACCTACTCCTACTGGTAGGTAAGTGAAGTACTTACCTACTTGTTTTTAGTGAAATACAGGATGATTTAAATTGAGTACAGTGCTGGATTTACAGATTTGCCGCTTATGACACGATCCCTAGTGTGTGTGATATATTTTGCGACCCCCGAACGTTCGCTTTTTTTACCCGGCAGCGCCAGAAGAAGGGTTATTTTATGCATTTAATAATCTATAATATATAAAAATGAAACCCGTTTTCCGTTGTCACGACCTAACATGAAAACGGCTTGACCGATTTGGCTGATTTTTTTTGTAGTTTTCTAATACTCTGTACAAGGTTTTTACGGAAAAAATATAAGGAAAATCTCTACGCTCGCTAAGGCGGTACGAAGTTCGCCGGGTCAGCTAGTGACTAATAAAATGCATGAAAAAATATTGTAGCAATTTTCATTGCGAATAACAAGCCCGAATGATCCCGAACAAAGCACTTCAAGAGCCTTTTTTTTTGGATCATCTTACAATATCCAAGGCCGTGAGTGAATTAGACATGTGATATAAAAAGTAGAATGTCAAAATAGTTAAAAAATGTCAAATTAAACCGCGTTGTTCTTGTTGTTGATGCTTGCACGTTGACTTAATTTATTATTTAAATAACAATCCTTATCAGTCTTTCTTATCAACGTTAATCAGAATTGTGAATTGCGGGAGGGTCCGTAATATTTCAATAAATTACGTAACCTAAGTGACTAGTCAAATAAGATAATCGCTCCATACCGGCTTTCGCTCAGTCTAAAAGTTTTAAGTTACTTTGCGCTTCCACAAAATGTTTAAGGTAAGAAAATTATCTTCATAAAGGTGTTGATTATGTAAAATACTTCCAAATAGCCTTCCTTAATTGTTTTTTTTGTGTATTTTTACGCAATGCCTGCTGGTGTTCTAAACTTACAAAGTTATCGATAAAGTTTCTAAAAATAAATTGTTTCACCGTATGAAGGTACATTATGTACATTATTTGGTTATATTCAAAAATGATCAAGTGCTGTCAAGTATTAATTATTGTTACAAAATAAAAATTAAAGCATTTGAACAGGGTTTAGTTGGTCTAGTCACGGGAGGAGCGTCAGGGCTGGGACGGGCGACTGTAGAGCAGCTGCTAAAGCAAGGAGGCCGCGTGGTGGTGTGCGACCTGCCCTCCAGCCAAGGGCAAGAGGTCGCTAAAAAACTCGGAGAGAACGCTGCATTTGTACCTGTCGATGTGAGTATGAGAGACAGGTTACAACCCAATATTTTTTTTGTAAAATCACTAGTATTAGGAAGGAGAATTATATAAGTTATGTTTAACCATGGAAAATGCCTCCTTCATTGAATGTGGTATGTTTTGCCATACTTTTATTCATCTTCAGATTGTTGTTCGATATAGGCTTCTTCCCTTCTTCTTCTCTTCTTCTTTGTTGTTGACTCTTTGTGGCTATCATGGTCCTGTTAAAATGTGATAATCGTCCCTAGTGTAATGTAGCCGGCCTAACTCTCTAGTAATATATTGGCAGTATATAAATTGCATACTTATTGATTACATTTTTGTCATTTCAGGTTACCTCAGAACAAGACATAAAGAATGCGCTACAAACAACATTGGACAAGTTTGGACGTCTTGATGTTGCAGTCAATTGCGCTGGTATTGCCACAGCGTCTAGGATATACAATTTCAAGAAGAATCAACCTTTCGACCTTAAAATGTTCCAAAAAACCATTGAGGTTAGCTTATAATCATCAATTATTTTGGTCAACATACATATTGTATTGTGTTATAGTTACTAGTTTATTAATTGAACACTTGTTGCAGGTGAATTTGATAGGTACATTCAATGTTATCAGACTATCTGCTGGTTTAATTGGTAAGAATGCGGCAGATGCAGACGGACAACGGGGCGTTATCATCAACACAGCTAGTATTGCAGCATTTGATGGGCAGGTAACTAAATATAATATGACTCTTTATATATTATTATCCATGACTTCTAATGATTATTTCATCAATATCCACTATCCCCGAGCCCTATCAGGTTTAAAAGTTGGTGATAGGTATTTGTAAATTTAACAATCAATTTTATTTTTGTATCATTCAAATCCTTGTGTAGTGTAATGTGTAGTCAATGAAATCAGATTTAACATGTATGTTGGAAAATAACAGGAAATCTCAATAGGCAAAACTTGTTATGTTATCTCTACCTACAGAACAGTATGTTTTTGCCATGTAGCGTCATGAATAACTTAGTGTCATGAGTGTCGTCAACATATATGTATATTTTTTTAATATTTCAGATTGGTCAAGCAGCATATTCTGCATCTAAAGCCGGAGTGGTTGGTATGACTCTACCAGTCGCTAGAGATCTGGCCAAACAAGGAATTAGAGTTGTCACCATTGCACCAGGTAATTAACAATATTAAATCACGATTTGTTTATGTGTCTGAAAGCAAGAGCTAGTTTCACCACTTCGTAATGAAGTGCAAGATATTTGGGACGTGTATAAGCGCCTTGGAAAGGGCCTAAGTACTGAATAAAAAACTTTGACGTTGACTTTTCAGGTTTGTTCCGTACACCAATGATGGAACAGTTGCCCGAGCCTGCGATCAAACAGTTGGAGTCATCTGTACCATTCCCATCACGTCTTGGACACCCTCAAGAATTCGGACTGCTCGTCCAAAGCATCATCCAAAACCCCATGATTAATGGAGAGACGATACGTCTCGACGGATCCTTGAGAATGCAGCCTTAATGAATGTCTTCTGAGTAATCTGGGAAATAAAATGAGGTAATGGAGCTATTTTATAAGTAGATTGGTGGTTGATTTTGTATGTAGATATGTAAATAAATGGTTGATTTGAACATTTAGTTTTTAAAGTACCTAGTTTTCCTATCCATCATATCCTATTGTAGTGTAGTTTTCCTGGGAAATGTAGAACAGATCAGTAGTTCCTGTTTACAGTATCATGCGGAATATCTTGATTTTACTGAAGTAATGTGATTCAAGGATGGTTTCTTATACATATTTGTTTAAGATAAGTTTTAAATCAAATCCAGAAACATGATCATATTTTTGCCTGTGTGTGGTGCATCAACATGAATAGAAAGGTATTATTGCACTGGAGTGCAAATAAATACGCAATTATTTAAACGAAAATATCATTTATTTCTACAATAACGGGCGGCGGTAGCGCGCGCCCCGCCGCCGGCGCGTTCGTGCGTCTCACAATATTATCGACCACCGTAAAATAAATACAAAGGCGATGCGCGGGCGACATTCACACCGCCATATACATTAAACATGTATCTATGTTGCCTTCAATATAGATCATTGTGTGTACGTTTTTAACTTAAAAGACACCTCTAAACAATATCGACAATAAAAATAAGTTTAGCGACAACAATAACTATTATTATGTAAAAAAGATGAACGTGAGGAAAATGAACTATGTTGATGGCTAACAAAGGTAAAAATATAGACGATCCAATTTAACTGAACTAATACACCAAACTTAATTACAATCTTTGTTACATCTACCATTGACAATTCTCTTATATTTAAAACTTTTAAATGATGAACTTTAATTTAAACTTTTAATATTTTTAAGCAAATGTTTCAAAACACAAAAAAATTGCCAACAGGTCATACCTACAATATGATAAAGTAATTACACCTATAAAAATACAATACGCGTTATATTATTTCCGAATTAACAATTAGCTCGTGATGTATCGCGTGATGTGTTCGGTCCCGGTATCCAATCTGATTCAGTTAAAATGGATGCAGCCTCACAACAAGCCTTCTTGGCTAAACTAATCGCGTGTACTTATGTATTACGATTTACATTAACATACATGTCGGTCACGGACCGAGTGCGAGGATGCGTTCCACGCGCGGCCGAGCGGGCGCGGGCCCCGGCCCCGGGCGAGTCGGCCCGGGGCACCGCCAGGGACGCGGCCGACCGAAGCCCGCTCCCGTGGTTTAGCCTCACCACCGTCTAACAACAGTAACACATAAATATCCGTAAAACTATGGTATCAGAAATTTGACATTATTATAACAGCAAAATGCAACATTGCATTGGTATTTGCCAGCCCGCCTTTTAGATTCAACAATAACCATTTAAGATTGATGAAAACACAGTATACCTCGCCCTAACTATATGTACAATTAATAAAATATAACTAACACGGCTCGCGAAATAAAATTAAGGTGCAACAGAAATAATCGCTTAGGTACTTAAATTTATAGCTAGTATGAACTCATCAGGTTATAGCCTGTCGATTCGCTCAAATTCACGTCCTCACATAAACTTAACCAAGAGAATACTATACACAGACTAAAGTTAAACAACATCGACTGAGATTAAACCTAACTTATCGTTAATGAACAACAAAGTGGTTAACTTACAAGTAACGCGTTATAAGACACACGTCACGTAGCGTTACGATTAGCGTTATTTTGGAATGTGTGCGACGCGTACGTACCCGCCGTCCGGAGCCGCCCGGACGCGTGTAGTTACGTGACGCTGCGCGAGCGAATCTGAGCGAAGTAACAGTGTCCGGTGTCCGCCGGACAACCCGCCGCGCGCGTGCGCCGACGGAGCGCATGGTTCGACTCTGCGCAACAGTGGTATAACTACATACTCTTCGCTTACTATCTAATTGAACTCAAAATTTACATTTATATATAGAACACTCATTGTGTATCTTAACATTTAAAATACTTATAATTTTATTTCATAAATATAGATATTACTTACACAAACACTAAAATACAACTGTACGCTGTATATTACAACCTAATCTTAGAAGTAAATAGTAGTTTTAGATTTTACATGTATAGAATAATATACTCAAGTACTCAACAAAATTATATATTAAATGAACGTAGCTTCGATTCGAAATATAAGTAAATGACAGCGAATGATATTAAATGAGAGATAGCGATTAATGAATTAAAAATGAAATTCAACTGGCACCCAAAACAAGTGTTATTGTCTATTTGAAAATTCAGAGAGAGTGTTTGCTAATTAGCGCTAATATTGAAGCATTGTACTTGTCGCCGGGAGCAGGCACTGCCTACGCGGCGTCAGCATGGCACACGACTGTCCTCGCGGGTCGCCGCGCTGCGTCGGCGGACGACAATGCAATATGTAAACGTTAAATGATCTCTTGTTTCGGCACTCCGAAAACTTAAGCCGACCATGAAACGTCTCTCATGAGTAAAATTTAATTATTCACTGGTTCTAAACTGGTTTAATTTATATGTTTACTTTTAAAACTCCGAAATATTGATAGAAACTCTAAAAACTTAACTAAATCACTTGGACAGTCTATAAAATATACCTCCTTTTGTTAAATTTTCTGAAACAGAATGTTTTGATATTTTTTTTTTCCAGTGGAAAAACGACATAATTTTTAACTAATTTGTGAAATCGTTTATCGTTTACATATTGTATGTTAACTATGATAATTGTATAAACATACTATTTTGTATGAAAATATTAGTGATGTAACATGTTATACATAGAGATTGATTATATCTTGAACATAAACGGACATCGGTTATACATATTCCATGATTAATAACTAATTTATACACTTATATACGTATCAATAGCTGTTTCCTGTACGAGTAGATTTTATTTGCAAACGTTAAGAAATAATACACATAATCCTTTATAAAGTGACTCCATTTATATTCGGTGATGTAGGAGTGTCCATATGCTTTCACTATTTGAGTCGCAATTTAAAATTTTGTGTATATTATTTCCTTGTCGAAGAATAATAGCATATTTTCTTAGGAATAATATGTACTTAAATGTGTAGTAAAAAATTAATTTCTTCATAGTCGTACGATTATTTTGAGGCATTCAAAACTAGATTCCTTTTATTAGATACGGAAAATATTTCAAAATAGATGAATTAGATATAAAAGTAAAATAATACTGTTACGTATTTTAACAAACCAATAAAAGTTTGACATAAAATACTGTATAAAATGGTAACATTTGTTTGGTAAATTATTGTTCACATAACTAATAAAAGGCATCATCAATTGAGGTATGTTGGCATCTGTAGTAATTTTTGTAACTTTATAACACAGCGCTATGACTTTTAAATACCACTCTTCAAAAATCATTATATTAAAGGGACTTTTAATAAAGCCGAAGAGGAAACATGATAAACAAACCACAAATTGTCGTTGTGCCCCTAAGGGAGAAGACCCACACAGCCTAACGTACCTAACTATCATCACAGATTCGCTTCTCGATTTATAAAGCAACTACAATGTTGTGAAGCTACGTGTCGCTTCAATTTCTCGAGCAAACGAGTTATACCAAAAACAAACTGAAGCAAGACTAACGATATGACTCCTTTTATTTAAGGATAAGGACAGGCCAAACAAGCATCTGTGATGAAACAAGTGAATGTCCATGAAAACGATTAAGTAACGGAAAAAATAGCTATGGCTATTCGATTGGAGACAAAACTACCAACAATGTGGTGATCCCATCAAAAATGTAAGCAACTTCTTACCGTACAAGAAACGCATCGATATGCATATACCATTTGATTTACTGTATTGTTTAACGAGAACCATGACAGCCGAAAAGGGTTAAAGATTGCAAAGAAAATCCTTTGCAGAAAAGGAGTCGATAATCGCAGCTTCACAAATCAACATTATTATAATTATTATGATAATAATAAAACGACATGGGGTTTACGACTTCTAAATTTGAACGCTATTTACATTAATGTGATCGGCGATAGTAAGTAAAATAAAATTTAAAGAAAGATAAAAAAAACGTATATCGAAAGAATTTATGACTATTACGACTCTTAAATTTAGTAAAATTTTATAAAATCATGATATTGCTGTTCAAATGAGGTTCATATTATAATCTGTATATTTAAAAAATTTGAACCACAATAATCTATTGAGGAACTTCGTCAAACTTGATTTCAATTAGCACGTCAATATCGAATACTCGTAGTACAGGTACTCTATTTGCATTCTATTGCCATCGCAACTACATATCATTCATCTCACTGTGTCCGTAGTGCAAAAAATTTAAAACGTGCGTTTGAAAACATGCAATCAAATTATATCTTGCGTTTTCAAACACTGATTTTGTCATGATTTTTAATAACAATTTTCACTGGACGGTATGACAGATAAAATACGGTGCCGTAAATATATACAGTACAGGCCTAGTAAAGAGCCGCTAAGCAATTTAAATAACAACATAACTCGAAATAATGCCTACTACTCGATGATGTGGCCTACATTACACTTGCACTTGGTGCAATGACACTAATATATTAGATAGATACTAATTTTTAAACATTCAATAAACACAAACCGTCAATCACATTTTAGACTAAGTAATTCATCCAACGCAAGGATTGAATGAAGCCCATTTCAATGGAACAGCGTGTGATCACACATTCACCGAAGAAGAAGCGAATACCAAGTTATATTTATAATTAAGCAACTTATATGCAAACACCACTAGCTATATTCGAGACCTGGTAAATAAGTACAGTCAGTGGCTTGGAAGAGCCATGTTTCAGAGTGCAGGGCAACCAAAGACTGTAAGATGACAGAAGAAATGAATCGGCTTGTGAAATGGGCATTGCCTAACAACAAATCGACGCCATATAAAAATAAAACGTTTTCAAATTAAATTTTCAACGTTATGCTTAATTTGTGAGTTACTAACAATGATAGAATGAAGTTTATGTTATGTAAGTATATATAATAATTATATTCCACTTTAAAAGTTGATCATTAAACTTTTTTTTACGTACGCTACTATATTTAATTATGTTAGAAAAATACGAAACCATGTACTTTCAGTTAACATATTATATATGTTAATAAAGAACAATATGTTTTATAAAAATACATCATCTTCTCGACCGACTGTCGAATAGAAGCTAGTACCACGTTTTTTTAAAAATCTATGATTTTTAAGGCTTCTTGCACGTATGTTGAGAGATATTTTACATAATTACAATATTAAGTAGAGGAAATCAGTGTAAACGTGTTACTAGATTTGTTATTTACAAGGTAGGTTAATAATTTGATTTGTANGTGCTTAAGGACCATGCTGTATAGTTCTTTATAGTTTTTAAAAGTTGGCCAAAGCGGGTTGGTTCCGCAAGTGACAGTGCTGTATCTCTGTTGTTAGTCGTTAAAAATGTACCATAATTTTTTTTAAGATAGAATGCGTTATTTGACCGCCATCTATGTACTTAACTCAATTTCACTCAAAGTGTGGGTTGGTTCCTGTTTGCATAAATGGGTCCAATTTGATTTGTACTGGTATGGCCAATAAAAACAACGTCAAACAACACTACATCCAGATATATGTAATATCTTTATAATAAAGTGAACAACTGTGAAATTTAAACATGATTTCGAATAATTTGTTCATCTTAACAATATATTTATTTATCTATAATATATATATGTATATAATTACATATAAAGTTAATTTCAAATAACAACATTAGATACATTCTGAAGTACCTATTCAAGCCAATGAACATCCGCGCCTTCCAACCTTCACTCATAGCGATCTCTGGCATGCACTGCGGGACTGAAGCGAGAGGGTCTTGATCAGTAAGAACGTTAACAAGTCAATAGAGTGCTTAGTCTTAAAGAATTAAATCGTATATTAATATAATAACGTTAAGTAACGTTGGATCGACAAAGCGCGGCCGCAGCACACACTGCAATAAAACTAACAAATATTATGCTCTTCATGATCGCAAGTAACGATAAAAATTGTTTTCATCAAATTTCTTCGTTTATAATCACAGACGTTTTCCTAAAGTATGTATTGTAATATTTCTCCCTTATGCACCGGAGTTAGAGAACCTAGTAATATAACCATCAATGTACTTACATAATTTTGATGTAACACAATATAAACTGCTAAATAAATTAACCGTAGCTACACGAACTGGTGTATAATGTTTTTGTATATTTATGTTACAGATATTAGGTAGATAAATATTTTTTTTATCTGTATTCGGACTAGGCACGCGCGGCACCGCCGGCCGGCGCTCGGCGCAATAACTTAATAAATTTAATCACACACCAAGTTAACAACTAAAGCTAATTAATAAGTAGTATTTTTGTAAAATATACTATCTGATGTGGTATCAGGAGCGCTTGGCGCATCTTCGGTCTTCATTTTGTTATTCTTCACTGGGAACTCAAGACCTGTAAACACAAAACGTCCATTGTACCATCGAAACTGCTTGACCAAATACATTTCACAGGTGCTTATCTATGAAACTCAATCCAATATTTTATAACCAACTTTTAACTTCTGTAATAATAAGTCATTTGAACTGTCAATATTAGTAGATATTTAATAGAATCTCTCTCTGTATAACATCACTAAAAAGAAAAAATAAGTTAGACTGAAAGTAGAGACTTCTTTCAATTTTCAGTAATAAACGACATTTCATCGGTAAGCACCGTATAGCATAACATTTTCGACGGGGCAAAACATAATTATGTTAGTAGTTCACACTGGCTCAACCCACGTTCCAACCAACTTCTTCCATAGATTACCATTAATATTTTAAAATCCAAGCACCAACCCATTAATAAATGTCGATATTTATAGTCACAACATGTACGTACACCTCTAGCTATTGTGCGGTTTTATCGTGGGCAGTTAACGCGTTAACAATTATCCACACAGAGATGGCAATTAATAAAATGATAACACACCAGTGTTAACGCCGTTACACCTGTTACAGGAATGGTGAAAGATACAAGATAAATTGCATATGTTAAGTAGACATAAATCTAAAATTGTTCCGTTTTGACGCATAAAAAAATAATAGTTTAAAAAAGAAAAACACGCTTTTAATTACTGTACTAAAAGGCAGGATCCTGGACATCATCTAGCACTAAAGTGCTCGAAAAGACAAATTCAATGAACCCAAACTCGATGCGATTCCGCCGTTTTGTTTAAGAGTTCCTATGGCCACCTTCCAGTCCCATCATCAGACCAGCTTGATGGTAGCATAATATTGTATTGTCATGCTACATATTATTGGCAAGTTTCTTGATGATACAGGAATTAGAAGTCCGTGTAATTCAGATTCTTAGATTCCATTAAATAGTTACATACACGACGACCTAATAAAAGCGTGTCAAAAACAAATACCGGCCAAGTGCGAGTCGAACTGGCGCACCGAGGGTTCCGTACAAACCTGTAGATATATAGACCTGAGTATTTGATATGAATTTCAATTTAATACCTCTACGTGTTCATGAGGAAAGGAGTAGTAACTGAAACATTTTTAAAAAATTATTAAAAAACTACTAACTAGATCTTTTGTTCAAACCAATTTTCAATTGAAGTTTGCATGGTAATGTACATCATATATTTTTTTAGTTTTATCATTCCCTTATTTTAGAATTTAGAGGGGGAAGGGGTGACATTTTACCACTTTGGAAGTGTCTCTTGCGCAAACTATTCAGTTTAGAAAAAAAATATATTAGAAACCTCAATATCATTTTTGAAGACCTATCCATAGAAATACCCCGCCCATACGTATGGGTTTGATGAATTTCAGTTCTATGTATGGCTTGTATGGGCACCCCCAAAATATATTGTTTTTTTTTTTTTCTATTATTGCGTGAAGATCTTAATGCGGTTCACCAAATACATCTACTTACCAAGTTTCAACAGTAGGTAGCTCTTATAATTTCGGAAAAAAGTGGCTGTGACATACGGACTGACAGACATGACGAATCTATAAGGGTTCCGTAGTCTTGACATGGAACCCTTATAGTTTCAATATGTCTATCTGTCCGAGGTTTTGCTTGGAAACTGTTGGCACTAGGGAGCTGTAATTTTGTGGAGGTATGTATATTAATCACGCCGACAAAACGGTAAAATAAAATTTTGAAAAAACAATTTTTGAACAAACAAAACAAGTGGGGATGATTTTTTTTTCATCTTCTACCCCATCGTGTCGTGTGGGGTGTCGTTGGATAGGTCTTTTAAAATGGCTTAGGCATTTTTCAGACTATTTTTCCATTTAGGGATCGGTTTGCAAATTATTAAAGTTTAAAGTGCCAATTTTTGTTCGAGTAGGGTGTTCCCCCTCCCCCCCGCTCTAGAAACTAAACTCTTGGCTTAAAAAATCTGGAAAAATTCATGATAATAGTGCTTTTTATGAACTTTCAAGGAAAACTATAACGGTTAAGATAGATCAGTTAGTTTAAGAGTAATAGTCGTTTAACTCATGTATTATAAAATTTCTTACCTAATAAAATAATTAATTAGAAGAAAATATTAAAAGTGACTTTAGATGAAGAAATTGCTTGCTTTTGAAGTATTTTGTGGTAACGACGGACAACTACGGAACCCTACACTGCGCGTAGCATGACACGCACTTGGCCTTAGATTAATAAAACCTAGATAGATAGTCAGTGCACGAAAGGTGAGGCAGTTTTTAGGGAGCCGGCACGGCTTACCCGTAAACGTCACATGAACTGTCAAAGTGAAAAATTGGTAAACACGTCCGACGAATTTTAATTATTAAAACGGTTTATGCTGTGAAAGGGTGTCTAAAATACATCAGAAAAACAAAAGAAAGTGACCAGTGTTACATTTCATAAGTAAGTACTACGATTCGACGCGTATTTTGCTTGAATTTGGCTTTCAAAAATTAAATACGGGAATGATACCAGTAACAAGAAAATTTATTTCCCAATTGTTCGCCGTACAAATACACTTCCTTTTTTATGAAATCGAGACTTTTAAGTCGATTTATCTTATTGTTATTAGGTAGGTACTTTGAATTCAATAAATAAGTAAGTACATGATGCGTTTTGTTTTTGTTAATTATAAAATTATTAAAAATGTATTAAAAATTTCCCTACTTTCGGGAAAATCGCCTTCACTGTCTACACTCCCCAACAAAATTGACACTAATGACATAAGGTTTTTGCCTCACTCTTGACGAAGCGTTTGTATGAAGACTATCCATCTAGGTTTTATTAATCTAAGCACTTGGCCAATTTTTTGCCATTTGGCTTAAAAAGCATTGTTGTCTTTATAAGTCGACTAAAACCCCGGGCTCCTTTTTCTTTGTTGTAAAACATCAATTAACGCGATAAAAGATTCAAGCTTCTGATTGATTTAGACTAGGCGCAGACCACCGATTTATAGTTGGCCGATAGTTGGGCCCGATTCTAATTTGTATGAAAAATCGGCCGATACAAAATCGGTTTAATGTGCGCACTTCCATACATGTAGGTAGATACTGATTAACAGCCCGACCCAACTATCGGCCAACTAAAAGTCGGTAGTCTGCGCCTAGGCTAAATATTGAAACTCAAATCAGTAGCAGGTTAGAATCTTTACTTTCCATCAGGTGTGGTGCAGGCAAAGAGCTTCTCTTTGTCGATAAAAAATATGTATTTTTGATCAAAAAATGTTTTAGATTATGGGCCTGATTGTGACGGATGTCCTCAATATCTATTTCATGATCGATGCTCATTTTTAACCGACACAATTCGTCTTAACATTAAAACTAAATAGTTCAAAAGTCACCTGAAATTGTTTGCAAATACGACTAATTACTTTCTTAAGTTTATTCTAAATACTTTACACTGGGGATATCAGTGTTTTCATACAACATACCATGCTAATGTTCTATATGTATGTATAGGTAAACATAATATAATGCATAGGTTATTTACAAGAGACAACACATATTGACTCTACCATACATCCAAAAAATCACTTGTGTAAATTACGTGAGCTGTGAAGCTGAAATTTAGCAGTTACGTAATTTATAGGTGGGAGACGTAGATAAGAGACGCATTTGCACGCATCCACAAGCACGCACGTTACGACAGGAGCGGATTTAGAAGGCAGAGAGTATAAAGTTTGCATGAAAAGTTTTAAAGGAGTCGTTAAGGTTTTCAATTTTAAAGAAACGAAATGTTGAAATTTTTGGTGATGTTTTTTATCCATCTATGCTCTATGGTGTATCATTGTAACTTGTAACACACAGATTTTATGACCTTAATGGTTTTCTTTAGCTATCAAATACTTTATGGCATTTTAATTTATACGTGAATTTATTCGCACTTCAAATTTCAAATACCTAACTAGCGAAATCAAAATGTTTTTCCCATACATCTTGTATTGTTTTTAAAGCAATTTTTTAAGTGCTTGGCTGACTATTCAGATAATTTGGATTTTGAATTAAATCAATTTGTCGAAGGCTGCTCAATCGCCATTAATAATATAATCCGGGAGTCTAATGTATAAAACTTCAATCTTTACAAGCGTAATCATACATTTGGCCTTGAATTCAATAAGATAAGTACCAAAGTAAGATTGACTGACCCTTCTGTAAGTTGAGCAGCAAGCACATTAGTCCCGGAAACTATCGATGTATTCGTTTTATAAAGAGTTAATGATAATTCCTTTATTGTGTCCATAAGTTATAGCGTCACTTACTAATTTATTCTTGAGTTTATTTCTTTTAAAATTAAAACAAATAAACTAAAATAATAATACCAAATAATCTTGGACCATTTGCAAACTGTTTTATTGTTTGCAATCTCCTTAATTTTAATGCGGATCATAAGATCATTTACAAGAGTTACACGTTTATAAATGATTAAACCGCATTGTACATCACTGCTTTCTGTAGAAGAGAAAATTTACATGTTATGACGGTGCCAGAGTGAAGTGACATTAAGTTACTACAGAATTGCACGTGCTGAGGTGATCTCGAGAAACCATAATGCTTACTCTAGATCGGCGAATGCGGCTCAATCGTGTCGCTTGGCAGGAAGCCGCACCTGCCACACACAGACAACGACTTAAGAAATGCAAACACACATTGTATCAGTGAAGAAAAATGGCACAGTGGACGACTGTAGAGGCACAGTCACAAAGTGTTCCCGCCATTCTGTTCAACTCCAAATCGCCACGAGCATAATTTTCTTTACCAAAAACTTATCTACAGTCAGTGTCAAATACTGTGGCCCAAAGTGGCCAAAAAGTTGACAACACAACCTTATGACGTGAGCAAACTTTTGGCTACTTTGGGTGTCACGCATGAACTATTTGACGCTGACTGTACCTATACTGTTTTGTAGTTGAATAAATTATACTCGTGCACCTAAACATTTTACAGTATTGTAAATGGTTCTCAGTATGAGAGCTGAAGCTTGCAACAATTTGTACAATCATGCCAACCAGCTTAAATTAAAAGAACATAGCACTTTAGCTGTTTGCGTTGCCGACATTATATCTCATAGGTCTTGGGTAAAGTATTTTATTTTTTGGGAACGATACGAATTTATCAAAATACTTAATAGTTTTTTTAGATTTTTCAAAATAAACAGAATCCGGTATATTAATGGATAATCTTTTGGTCACTATAAGGGAATTCGATATTTTTTTTTACTAAAAATGCGTTTTGAAAAATTTGAGCGACTCCAAATAATTTCATCGTAATTTTGGTTAAAATATCGTTTTTAATAACAAGCTTATCGGTTTGTGCTCTTCCCTGATTGCATAAATATTCAAAGTTACTTTGTGATTTTTATAAATAAGTCAGTTTCCACCAGCTTTTGTTGGCAAAAGATTATCCATTAACAAAACCACATCCTACGTTCATATTATCATGAATAGTCAGCCACATATTTGCTCAGTTTTATTGTAGGCAATGATAAATTAACCTAACTTAATTCAGTGCGCAGAAACTATAGACACCAAAACATTAAAATGTGTGTTAAAAATATGTACATTTTAAGAGTTACTATTTATCAGTGTTGACAAACGTGCATGTAGGATGCGTGCAATTGATAAATAAAAGTTAGCAAAAACAATTGATTGGTGTTGCATGTGTTGTTGGGCCATGTTCAAAGTAACAAACGTCTGATAAATAAATGCTAAATTCCATCTAACAGACATTCTTACTTTGAATTTGAATTGAAATGAATTCAACTAGTAGTAGTTTATATTAGTAGAACTCGTTTAGAATATGTCACTCCAGTTAACTCTTTGTTTTATTTTAAAATAAAACTTTATTTCAGAACAACAGGTTGTGATAACAAATTGCCTTTTTGATAATGTTACACACACTCGTATATAAAACAACTGATAAAAAATTGGGTCACTTCCATCACATTACTCTAAAATCCGTGAAAGTAAGCGATAACGTTGTTTATTAGCACATTCAATTCTTGCAATTAACCAAACTAATATGTACTTATTGAGTTTTTTGATACGCCCATTTCTACGAAAATACTTAAGTCTAGGTACTTTAAAATACCGATTTTATATTTTTGACTTGCGTCATTATGGAATCAAAGTGCAGAATATTTCTACTGCGGTACTTTAGATATTTATTACTTTATTTAATTTGGTCACATGATGTTAGAAAATGTGATGGTAGAATATATTTTAAGTGAAATTTACGGGGCATCAAATTATTGGTTCATACACTTAAGTGTTAACCTTGATCGTATTACCCGCGTGAGCCTCGATCCAATTTAAGTTAAGAGGTTGTGTATCGCACAAATCAGGTTAAGTGCATGTGCATTATGTAGATGTAATTTTCTGAAATTATTCTGTTTAGTGTTCACCTTTTCCCAATATGAGTAAGTGCTTAATATTAAGATCCCTTTTGCTTAGTTCAATTGCGTTTATGAATTTAGTACGTACTTTCTTTTTCCTGGTATCAATATCTGGTATTGAATTAAGAGCTACGTTCGAGTAATATTACTAGGAACAATACGTGTAATGTGAAGCTAATCTTAACTCAATGTTTACTAATATCGACAAAATAAGAGTTCTATGTAATTTTCTACGTAAGCAAGTCATATTACGAGGCAAACTAAAATAAGAATGTAAGTGGAGCGTTTTATAACATGATAAGCGTAATTATGAGATGTTACAGTACACCAATGGCGTTGCAGTGAGTGGTTTGACATAATGTCTATGTATAATGTAGAGTTGCCAGCGAGCCTAAAATGATCAAAAACTCATCAAAATTAAATTGATACAATCTGACGATCGCATTCGGTTTAGTTGTAATTCGTAAAATGTGTACCTGGCAACTCCACTGAGATAAATAAATGATGTGTTGTGATGGTGCTACTTGTTTTGTGAATGATCTACATAAATAATGTTATAATAAAGTATTTTCACATGATAACATACAATCTGTCAAGAGTCGACGTATGCTCAGCACTCCGGTTAACCATTTCACCTCCATTAGGCCTAGAACGATAGATTTTATTGTATTTCTTACTCTTACTCTAATAGATACAATAATGATGTTCGCCATATAATATGTCGTGGATAGTGTTTTGAAATATTTTTATGAGGGTTGATAACTCACTTGCGTTTGGCGTGTAACATTTCCATCAGCAGCGTCTGCGTCGGCGCCTGCCCCGCGCAGTGCCGCTGGTACAGGTGCTCCTCCCCTCGCGCGGCCAGCGCGTGGATCTCGGGGACAACCATCACGAGTTTGCCGAACTTATCCTGGAAACCACATTCCAAATATTTACATTTATATTTGTTTCACAATCATATTGAACGGCTGACTCAATTTAGACGTTTAAATAAGTCTCTACGTGTATTACTTGCCTGTATGTTTGGATAGCAAGTGAGCGTGTAGTCCAAAAGCGCAGCTTGCACTGTTTGGTAGCCATCTCGGACGCATTTCACATTCACTATGCCCCTCACGTCTGAAACCCCAAGAGAACTCTTCAAGACAAATATAACGTTACACATGCAAAACCTGTAGCAACAAACACAAAAAATAAAGTCATAAACGAAAATAAAGATAAAGAAAGAAGAAACAAGAAATGTGGTATATCATTCGCAAATAAGCACTTATGCTAAAAAATCTTGCAAATATTCATAAAATACTAACCCGGATTGAGAAGAAGCAAGAATTTGACGCATATGTAATCCGGAACGTCAAATTTGAGTTCGGCTAGCTTGTTCTGGAGCTCGTTGAAGTGCTCGGCGAGAGAGGGCACGCCCAGGAGACCTAAGCACAGTAAATCGAACTTCTGTCCGTTGTGTAGCGTGGTCTCATCGGGCAGGCCGTTGTGCATCCGTTGGTGCAGGTGGTCCAGGACCAACATGTCAGACCACGAGTGCTGCAGCAATTTCATCTGATCATCAACCTGCAACAAACGATCACCACATTGCTACACGGGCAAATATTTTAGAGATGTAAGGACTTCTCAGAGATTTTGCACCGCCTTCACTGATTTCACTTAAGGGAGCAACCTTATTTTGACTATAATTTAAATGTTAGTAGTTTATTAGTCGCTTGCTACATTAAAATTATGTGAGTAGTAGAGACTGCTCCATTAAGATGTTTAATCAAGAGCTCAATTTATTTTTATTCCTGCTTCTTATTCAGGGAAGACGGTCGAGACGGGAATCCAATTACAGTTGTGTGAATGCAGAAGTCGCGTGTGATTGCACAATCATCTGGGTCAGGATCCATTCGTATTTTTGTCTTATTTTTGTGATAGCGATATCTTTGCAAGTAATGTTTCGGAAACTCGTATATTTTTGCGGTTTTAATTTGTCATTTACGTTATCTTTGACCGAAATGCTATCGGAGAAGTCGCGACCGACTAACGACGTTATGTTGTGGTGACCCACATTTTGTTGAGTTGCATTAGAAAACACGGGGCGGTGCGCGAACGCGTTAAATTCGCCGTTTACGAAATGTTACAACTGAATTTTAGAGCTCGGAGCTATTGCCTCACAGCGAACTGCTTGCTCAACTCGATGGACTGAGATCGCTCCGACAAAATCAGTCTATCTACAAAGTAGTACGAGTAATAGTTGTAATACAGTTTGTGTTTCAAAGTGTAAATAATTCGACCTATTTAGATTTCATTGCTCATTTGCTCACAAGCTTATTGTACCTACGTATTCATAGTCAATACAATAATATAGGTACCCAGGTAGATTTCCCGCGAAGGATGTTACTTTTCATTGCTGTAAGAGCGCGACATGGTTGAGAATAATAAATCCTAATAATCAGATGTACTGTAACCACGTCATCGCTTAATCAAGTCCCAAAGAAAGAGTTTCTATTCTTATTACGGTAGTGCAGATATTGTGTCGTTTAAGGTGTGAGATATGCGACCTTTTGGACCTGAAACGGCGGTTAGCATTCCCTTTGAGCGGCCATCTTGGCCTGAGTTGCTGGTACTAGGTAACACGCGAAGTAGGTCAAAGTCGCGTCGAAATGCCGCGTGCCTGTAAACTTAGCCCGCACCAGGAAGTTTATTTAAATATGTACGAGTCTACTGTCTATGAAATGTTTTTCGTTTCCAGTTGTTTTAGTATTAGAAGTACGAGTATGTAGTAACTTTCAATTTAAACTACAACAAATCTCGCAATATATACGAACATTGTGTAGATTGCCCTAGTTAGATATAAACACGGCACGTGTTTAGATAAATGTGTAGTAATAATTTCTCAGAAAAAAATACATCAATCGCTGTGGTGTTCCACTGCTAGAAAATAATTAAGTAACCCGGCAGAATTCTGTTAGTCTTGAATCTTTCTAACCGAGATTAAGTTTTCTTGTCTAATACAAAACTTGGCAGGATTTACAAGCTTTTAACTTTAACCAAAAAGGTATTTTATTTGACATCTCATAAAATATATTATTCAAATACGCGAATTTCCATGGAATGTAGAATAAACTCGAATACGTCTATTATGATATGTTATGTAGAGCGTAACATTTAGATACCAAGCTGTCGTTACTGGCAATATGTTGCAACGAAGGCTTGGCTAATGTCTAGCTAGACCACAGAAGAACACAAAATGACGAAAGTGAAAGGCTAAATGCCAAAATCGAATTAGACTTTATACCTTTGATACCTATTACTTAAAGTAGGTAGATCAAAACAATTACGAGTCACACTGAATTACGAGACATAGATTTGGGTGTCTTTCGTAATATTGTTTCAACTTTGTATTATATTCCGACAGGCATTAAAGATCTTTGACCATTTCGTTTGAATAACTTGTAATAATTTAAAGTTATATTTTTAGTTAAATATTTATCAAAAGTAGAGTTAAAGTAAGTTGGTATCTGGCTATAGTTATACTATACATAACCTATTTATCATTTTGTAATATGTTATGGTTTAAAAATGTTCCAAATTATTGCCGGCATTAAACAAAAATACTATTTTCCGATTCTAGTGTTTCACGTGAAATTGAAATTTACTCGCCTAACATTATTAAATTCATTCATTAGTAGGACGCGGTCAAATATTTCCATTAAATCTAATTCATGTTACAGAACTGTGTCAAACAGTGATAGACGGTCATCATAGCATCGTAAAGTCGGCCGCTCAAGTTCACCACGCCGCTGTTATGTGACTAATCGCACCAGGTAAGGCGTTACGTAAGAGAAAGCGAAGAAAGAGCGCACTACTCGTTACGTCTCTGTTACTGGTGGTTACGCTGCGCCGCGGTAAAAAGTGCTTTCTCGTGGCAACTCGGCCACGGCCAGTGTGTCAAGTGCGACGATGAAAGTGCAGCGTTGCCGTTCCGCACTCCGGACCGTTACATCACATCCGTCTGGAGAAAGCGTAGGTCATCAACATCACGCACCGGCTCGGGACTTGTGTACTTTAATTAATTTAGCGTCTTGTTTTTAACATTTTTTACGTACGATTTTAATAAAAAAGACTCAAAGGATTGCTTTATAGTCTAATTTTAGTTATTATATTAATAAGATACGTTCAGCATAAAATATGCAAATAACGTTTACACACCTCACTCACTACGTTGTCGTCCTAATTCTGAGAACGGATAGTAAATAAGACGCGTCATTTTAGCACAAACAAAAATTTGCTAGTTGCGGAATAGTCATGTGTGCCAGAACGAGATAGCAAAGGCGGCGCAGAGTGGCAACGCTGCGCGCCCACGTGACCGGCTGCGGGTCTTGCGTAAGCGTACGACGACCACGGTGCTGCGGCCATCGTCGCCTCTGCTCCCGTTCCTTGTCGATGGAGACCTGATTGATTAATTGGGCGACCGCTCGGCTCGCTTCATAAAACGATTGATTGATACGGATCGACGTCCACGTTATAAATGCACACGCACGTATTTTTGGATAGACTTTCAGGTCATTATAAAATTAACTAATATTTTATTGCATGAAAACAACGACGACTAATCTACTGCGTACCGATATTATTTTCTGTTACGTCTAATTGAATAAGTTTGTGTTTACGAGTATGTGTAGCTGAAGCCCGACGGCATCGGCTGGCGGCACGCTTGTCGTGGGAACTTGACCCAGTTGGTGCGGTGCGGCGCGGGCGGCGCGGTATCGATTGCGAACGGCACCGCGTCGCCCGCTGCGTCACACGCGCCCCTACTCACACAACCACATCGTAACTACTGTCTGCACGCAACAAAACTGTATAGGCATTCGCTTAGGCCAGTCATATGAGAGGAAAATAATATTACGTCGCTCAGCAGAGCAATGCGTCACATTCGCCAGCAAAATTGGTGTACACCGGATGGGGGTTTCAAGGATTCGGGAAGGGACATCATACTTATCTGGAAATTCACCTTTAGATACTTAAAGAACACGGTGTTCCGCGCCCAATCCACTTGAGAGAACAAATTTTGGTCCAGAACTTTGCACATTAATTCGAAGAGATCGACTTCACACTGGTTGTAGGTTTGGCTCTGCAAGAGTCCGAAGAGCGAATTCTGCCACTCGCGGTCGTCGATTGTTTGAACGAATTCACGAATCATTGGAGAAACTCGCAGTGTTTCTGTACTGGTGGCTTCTGCTGTGCTTGATGGGGTGGCAGCGGCGGTGGCCGCATCGAAGGCGAACGCGTCCGGCGACGCGGAATGGGGTGAGGGTGCTTCCCACTTGTCGTGGGACGGAGGCGGTGGCGGCTGCGGCTGTTGCGCGGCCAGCAGGGCCGGGCCGGGAGAAGACTCGGGGGAAGATGTCAATGAAGACACTTGAGGGATCTGGATTTCCTGCTTCACGGGCACTGATGCGTATGGCGAACTGAATCCGAGCACAAGCCCGCCATCGCTCAGCGAGCCACGCAGCGTCTGGACAGCAATTTGTCGCTGTCTCATCATCTGGAGTTTGCGAGCACGATCTCGTTTGTACATGGGCCCAAACTTATTGCGTCCTCCTCGCATGCGATCCGCTCGAACAGCTGAAACAGTTACACAGGCACATGTCAGATTCAAGCGTAGATGATATCGAAGGGTCTGAACCACTTTCAGGTCCGACGATTGAGAACCAACACAAATTGGTTTTAGCAAGATAATCAGATTTATGAATAATTCAATATGCAATATCACCCTTTGTGAAATTGCTCAAAATTTAGCAAAAACGTGTCATTCAGTGGTGTTACCTACATTAGAATGTCTACAAACTTCTAAAGGTTTTACGCTTTACATTCTGTGGAATTATCATATACGGAATGTCACCCACGTTGATTTAGTTCAAAATGCAGCAAAAATACAAAAGATGTTATATAGTACTAGCGGTCGCCCGCGACTTCGTACGCGAGGATCCCGTTTTACCGGAGTTTCTTAAATCTTTGCTTAGCGGATGCCTACGTCATAACATCTACCTGCATGCCAAATTTCAGCCCGATCCGTCCAGTGGTTTGGGCTGTGCGTTGATAGATCACTATGTCAATCAGTCAGTCAACCACCTTCGAGTTAAATTAGAAATTATTCGAATAATATACGCTTTAGATTCCTGCCTGTGGAATAATATCATCATCAGTTCATCACCCAACGCAATTTTATGCAGCTGGTTTTTTCATGATATCGGAGGTTTCTGGCATGTTTTCAACCAACCATTTTCGAACCAAGATTTTTTTTTTTATTTTGGCAGAATATTGTGTACCTTATCGGTTTGTGTTCATATTGACATTTTAATGTCTCCGAATCACAGATATTTGCAAATAAGTGGGTAAAATATGAACATTGACATTTTAATGTCTCCGAATCACAGATATTTGCAAATAAGTGGGTAAACTACTGTAGGTTTGTGTGTTGTTCAATAAATATTTAATAACTTAGGCTTGAAATTTAGGACAGCGGCCCCATAACGCACGCGGCTGGACTGTTCTTTATTATTCTGGCTGAATTCCAAATACAAGGCACTCCTCGCTACCGCGCACAAAATGCGGGGTGTGATTCTTTATTACCGATGCATTTTAAGTAGCGTTTATTCATCGTCTATTGGTAGCTGAAATATAAATAGATTGGTGGAAACCATTATTTCTTTTTTACATTTGATCCAGGAAACGGGAAACTTTAAGTCCTTTCAGGTATAAGCTAACTTTAAATCCTCTATTCATCCCAGATTCATGAGATGACCCCATATAAACGCCATGCGCAATAGAATTTACTGAATATGATAAGCATCGACAAATTACCTTGGAATACAATGTAGACTACGTACGATACGATAACTGCCTACTTCATTGTTGTTGGAACTACAATAAGTTTTAAGATTGGATCTACATAATGTTAAATATTGTGCGTAAGAAGTTATTACTTTGACAAAATACTACAGAGTTACAACTGTACTGAGCTGAATAATCAAGAAGTTTCTTTGGTGTAAATAAATATCAGTGAACCTGGAACGGAAGAGGGCTTTCAGTTAGTTGCCGGCTCGCCCAACCCACGAGTTAAAAATAACAACCAGTTTTTATTGTAGCCAACGCGCCTCTGTGCGATAAGGAACGAGTTACAGGGCTTACGAAGGGTTCAAAAGAGACAGCAGGCGTAACGGATTCAAGCATTGCTGTGTGCAATTCCGTCGGTTTCGTATGGCGAAATGTTGTACGAAAGGAATGAAAAGCATATTATACGTGCATAATAGTCTTCATTAAAATTCAATGTCCTGATTTTTAAAGGTCCGCAAATAAAAATTTCTAGTTTTATTTTTATAATGTTTTTTTTTTCATCGCGAAGTTATTTTTAGTTAACAAAAACATGAATGTGTCAGGCGTTTCATATTTCGATGTATTCAAAACTTGAATTGCAGTGTCTTTTAGCATGAACCCAAATCCAATAGTTACACCTACCCCAAAAATAAGAGCAGTTTGTAACTGCATCGAACTTTGATTATTTTTTATTTCCCCTATAACTAATCCCTATATTTATAAGTAGTTAAAGTTATACTTATAATTTTGTTACATTGTACTTGTGTGATGAAGCAGTAAAGACAAATAGTGTTTTCCCTGGCGTTGCACATTTCATGCAGTCGTTGTCGGTGCAATGCGAAATGTGCATTTCAACTCACTCTACTGCTTGCCTCACGACCGCGTTGTTGCAAATTGCCTCCTACAATCTTTATTCTTTTGTTTCATTTATATTTCTGTAAGATATTTTTATTGATCTCAATAAAAAGTTTATTGACACACATATCCAAAAAGTCTGATTGAGAAAAACACTTTTCTTTCTTATTGGAATAAAATTTTTGAACTCTACATTTTTCCTGCCCGCAGTTCATTCCTAAAAACAAAAATATATTGCTACGGATGGGTAGAACAATGATATTTTTGAGTTTCTAGCTTTGTCATAATAAATAATAACTAAAATTACAGTAAATAACTTTTCCAGTAACGGATTTGATCATGAATATGATACCAGTTTTTACAAACCGGACATGATGATGATGACTAACCCATTCTCGCGATTATTCAGTAGGAACATAGGTAATATTACGTTTTAAGTTACTTTTGATTGTTAAATAAATCGATAGTTCAGACAGAACATTGATGTAAATCCTACATAAGGTAAGTATATAAATAAAAGAGAAGAAGACGAACTGCTTATTATTAAACCGAAAAACAGGCAGCTGATCGTATACTTACTACGCGTTTATAAATGAAGAAGTAACTAACGATAATATTAAAATACTAGAACAGTTATTTCTAATAGGATTTTGATTATAATGAACACTCGATAGTACCCGATAATGCGGTAAACGAGGTCAACTATTTAATACAAGACTAAACTAGATCAAGGTCAAGGTCATTTTTACAAATCAAAAATATACACCTGAATGACAAACAGTCAGTGTGCAGAAATAGGCGCGTATGAGTTCACCTCGCATTCTGATACTATTTGTAGCTATAGCCCACTTGTCTAAGATGGGTCAAGGTCGACCTTGCCAACGAGGACACGGGAGCGTAAATGCATCAGATGCGAATGCTTTGCCTATCTCTAGCATCGTCACCGAGCTTAGTTAGGCATTATAACTACGTCATTAGTGGGGATGCAACCTTGGCATACGAGTCAGGGCCATTATATGAAGTAATCGTGTCAACGAGATAAAAAATAGTATGTACCGAAAGGACGGGAAGAGGTGGGGATCGCTCCTTGTGCCGACGAGCCGATGAAACTTGGTCAAGGCTGGCAGCACCGCGCCGCCTGCTGCCCTCCCCCGCGCCTCCGAGCGCCGCCGGAGTCGGCCGAGCGCGACCGACCGACCGCTCGCACTCGATCGCGCACTTAGATAGCGGCTGCTCGATCGTTACACAACCACGATAAATCATCGCCCGCGATGATCCACCGAACTGTGTCAAGATCTCGTCTTGGACAACATTGTTCATATGACGACTCCAATTCTTTAACGCATCTTGCGTCGTGCAATTGCATCTGTCATCCATTAGCATATAATCTATATACATAGTTATTTATATTCAGTTTTTCGGTTCAGCTCTATCTGGCATTACAGAAATTAATGTTGTAGGTGAATTATGGTCCCAATGCATGCTTTCATGTGCGCTAGCGACACCAGAATAATAGATGTATTTTACGCATTGAAACCGGTTCCAGTCACGAAGGCGGGGCTGTAGCCTGACTGGAAGCGCCTGCGCACCAAAATCCTTCCAAGATGGCGGCCCTCGTAGGACTGTCGTAATAATACGACAGGTAATTCCTAAAAAATAGAAAGGCCCGGTGTGCGAGGCCGTTCTGTCGAAACAGTCGATTCAGGTCAAGGCAGCACGCCGAAATAGTCGACTTGCGCGCGCGTTTTTATTGTATTCTAACATCTGTCGCGGGCGCCTGACCTCAGAGCTTGTCTAAATCCAAAAAAAAATGTTTGTTTATTAAATAATGACTTATGACACCATCTAATTACTTGCATTAAGTAATCAGCTGGCTGGATTCCAATTCCAATCTAATAAGAAATTGGATCGAAGCAACTTGCCTGTCTGTAGCCCATTCATGACTATAAAAATATTCCAATTCAGATTTCGCGTGTCATTGTATTTATACCTATTCATTGTAACTACTACAAATTCAATCAATATTAATAACAAGAATACCAATCCTTTGTAATTTTCTTTGTTACATGTGCACTTCAACAACATCTAGGTTATGTCCTTTGGTTCAAACACGTTGTTTATCAAAATTAAAATAATTACCTACGTGGAGTGTATTTTTTAATTGTCTATTATTGTGTATACGCACATTAAATCGAATCGCCAAAGAAAGTAGGTATTTCAACATTATAATAATCATTGTGTCTATCGAATATTACAAACAGGCGTGAGTACTGTGTAGATTACGTAAGGTGGTGTGCACACTGGGCAGCGGTCCGTTGAACAACAGTCATGATTGGTCGTCCGCGGTTCAAAACGCCCGAGCCGTTTACTCATTTTGCCGCAGTTAGCATAGCCGCATAAGGCAGTGAATTACAGGCGATAAATTTATTTAAATTTGTTGTGTACTTTGTGTAGTACATCTACCAACTTGTTGCCAGCAACAAAATATATGTAAATGCATGTTGTAAATTCAGCATTGAATCGGTTTCTACTGAACTAGCTACATACATATTGCGGTCGGTTTAAAATAACGACGATGTCAAACCCATTGAGTAATTTTCTTACTCTTATATTGAGAAATTGTTTGTGATACTTTTAGTTTATTTCTCTTGCACCTTCCCGATATTGGTAAAACGCACCAGATAGATGGGTAGAATCAAACGTCTTCTTATTATTATTCTTTTTAATGGCTTCAATGGTGCGTATTTGAAGCACACCGGTTTCGCCAATGTCGAGTGTTTAACGAGACACGGTGGACAGTGAAATTTGAAGATTGCCCGGTGATAATTTAATTGATCCTTTCTTCATTGAAACGTCTTCTTTTATCGCCCAAAAAACTTTTGGCATTCTAAATGCTTAAATTACCCGACTTGGATTTTGACAGAGTGGGCATGGATTTTATTGTTATTTTTTTTCATTGAAAGTATGTTGACACCCACAATAATAAATTCGGCACGCATATCCATGAACATGTAATGCGATACGTGTTCAGGTCACATTTGGGTAGTCCGTTGCGACAGGTCGACCGAGGCGTCTTGTGAAACGGCGCTTGCGCAGCGCACCCCACCGACGTCGGCTGATTGTGTCGAAACGCACGATACAGTCGCCGGCGCACGCCTGATTCACAACCCCCACCCGACAGCTATTATGAATGATAATAATCATGCTTAAATATCACTGGGCTTCAAGCAGTTAAACGTAAAACCCATGACTATATTTGGTCCTCATAAAGAAGGAGGTACAACTTTTTTAATAACGAATATCTCCCCAAAATTGCAAACTGTAAGTGCGGTAATGCTATTGTCATTGCATGGTTAAAACTCGCGCGTTTTTAAGCGCTATTGTGTATGCGGTAGGCAATACAGTAATTCGCCTCTGTTCAACTTACGCAACACATGGGTAATTTTAGGTAGATAGTGCTCAGTAATAGTCTGTTATTATAGTTGTTTGGCTAAACACAAACGTTAGAGTTGTTGACAAATAGCTTTATAGTCTTTACATACATTATCAGTCAGGTAATTGAGTATGCTGAATTTTTGAATCATGCAATTAGAATATTTGGTCCTATTAGTTTATTGGGTGATTGAGTGAGATTGTTTATTTGATTCGTTCTTATTGGATCTGATATTCTGGTTCCATCTGGTTCCTTGCGAACGCCTATCATATGGGTTGACCTACTTGTTGTGATTTCCCAGAGGAGAAATGCATTAATAAAATAACTCGTCTTTAAAATTCACAAGCCGACCTCGACCTACTGCAATTATGCCTTAAAGCATCACAATCATCATTCCCACTTTCGCAGTCCACTGGGCTAGTACTTCAGTTGGTGGCATTGCACAAGGCTCGCAGGTCGAGCAAGCGGTACGAGGCTCTCGCAACACTCGCTATTCGGGTCAGCCAACGATTTGTGTGAATTGTGTCATCTGACATATGCTTGCTACAAACGTTTGTTGTTGGCGTTAAAATATTCGTAACATTTTCGAAAAATATTGACAATTGACTACAGCCTCTCATTCAATGGTAATAAGCATTGCTCTATCAGGTTAATTTAATATTCATTACCTAACTCCTCGAGGTTTAACTTAAAAACCCAAACTTATACCGAGGAGTACCTTTCATATGCATGGTTTATGTTATGTACAAATTTATTATTGTGTACTTTGCCTTTATTTTGCATCACCAAGCTCTTATTTTTGACGTAGCCCTATTTAATTATCTGTACTGTTAAGAAAGATAACTAGACATATGGATCAATTGGTCAAGGCCTATTCAAACCCAATCATAACTTAATCAATGAAAGTCCATCACACACATACAGCAATACCCTGAGCGTGTTTTAGTCGATTGTTATCGTCATAAATATTGTATTTTTTGGCTCTAGAATTTAACTTTATGTCAAGGTAGTTTGGAGATTAATAGGGAATCCTAACTAATATTATAAATGCGAAAGTAACTCTGTCTGTCTGTTACGCTTTCCCGCTTAAACCTCGCAACCGATTTTGATGAAATTTGGCATAGAGATAGTTTGAGTCCCGGGAAAGAACATAGGATAGTTTTTATCCCGGTTTTTGAAACAGGGACGCGCGCGATAAAGTTTTTCTGTGACAGACAAAATTCCACGCGGGCGAAGCCGCGGGCGGAAAGCTAGTTTAAAATAAACATCTTGAAACGTAAATTAAATATGCGATATCTGTCCAAACAACCAAAAGATGAAAATCCCAATAAGGAATGTAAACTCTATATTATATTCGGTGTAAGATTAAATTTTAATACATTATTTTACTAAAAAAAATTAAAAATACTGTTGTTATTGGATATGTACAGATTGGGTGAAATTACACCTTATGTGTTTATGTAGTCAGTTTGAGTTTCCAATCTGATTCCTGTCTTGGAATCACTTTTTCACTCACATAAATACATAAATGTATGTTAAAGGATTTGAATTCAAAGGACCAAAGCTTTTATTATTTACTATGTTCTTTCCCGGGACTCAAACTATCTCTATGCCAAATTTCATCAAAATCGGTTGCGAGGTTTAAGCGGGAAAGCGTAACAGACAGACAGACAGACAGACAGACAGACAGACAGACAGAGTTACTTTTGCATTTATAATATTAGTTGGGATGTTATGATTATAACCGTGTGAAATGACTAAATGTGTTACAGGTAGGTACTATACTGTCTTATCGAGGTTCTGGTTATCTCTTTCGGAAATTCGCTCTTTTTACCTCACTTACGCTCTGTGTATGGCGTAATGTAATGTAAAAGCGGACGTCCAATAATGTATGCAAATAATATTAAATTCTATCTAGTACACTTCAATTATCAAATGTTTATACCTAAGTATGTAATATAAACAGAATTAGTGCAAGGCTAGGCAAATCTAGATTTTTGTGTCAATTACACTTACAATTTCAATATAGAAGATACGTATGTCAGGCGATTGGTATTTCGTTATTTATTGTTTTAAGAGCAAGCTTTAAATATTGCTGGCTGATGAGAAATTTCAGAGTACTAGATGTGTTGCAAACATCACAGCATCTGGCGAAACGCGGAATGGCGAGTGGCTGGCTTTATGCACACATGTACATAGTGTTGCGTACATGTACGCACAACAGCAGCGCGCGCGCCGCATCGCGGCCCCGCTCGCAAGTAGGTCAGGGCGCTCTGCGGCCGCGCGCATTTTAAATTTAGAACGATCCGCGCTTCAAGCTCCGCCCCACGCGATCGCCTAACTACAAGTGTTAATATATTACCTTCCAAACGTTCACATGTAACCGCACCCCCTTAACCATAGAATATGCACATGGGTGCGTTACAACAATATCCAAGAACTACTAAAACCTGACAAGCTGCCAGGATTTATTAAACTCACAAACCATAGCGCATATAAATAAACTACATATATTCCCCGATATAATCTACCTCTTGATTTTTATATCAATAGGTACTTGATAGCAGATTGAGTTATGATGACATCCACAAATAACAAAACTAATTCATAGGATATTTACCGGAAGGAACTAAAATGCATAAAAGATAGAAATTGTTTTGGAAAAAATAAATAATTAGGTATGTATCGGACAGTATTGTGTGATTTAAACTAATGATATATTTTATGATCTTGTCATAATAATATTATACGAATCTAAATCATAATTGATTATCCCAGAGGACACAGATTTTTTAACTGCATCGATCCTTTTATATTTCTCACACAATTTATCTTCATTTGTGAATCATCCGAATAGCCACGTTTAACCACTTGAAACTGTGTTACGTCAAATTGACGAAATTGTAAAGGTGGAATTTAAATTTCATTACGAAAACTCAGGAAAACACTCGGGAATATCAAAATTGTACGAGTACACTTCAAATGTTTCTTGTTTACGATAATTAACTTTGTTCATCATTTATTTGTTGTTGTTTGGATTAATTCCCAAACTTGAAATTTTCATCTATAAACATAAATAATTATCATTTTGTAAATGTTTAGTTGCTATGAATTCTGTTATGGCACTGAAAGATGTTTCAAAAATACTTATTATAAAAATGCGTTAAATATTTGAATTTTGATTGGTTGCATTTTCGTTGCTCCGTGGTTATTGGTTAACGATCTTATCAATTAGATTTTCGTAGATATCACTAATTAATTTGTTTTACTTTATCTTTGCTAGATGCATTTCATGCACAGATTACATACTCGTAGCAATTATTTTTTACTAGTCGTATGTTTTAAAACTATGATCTTATTTAAGTAATGGTTATACATCATACTGTGCGTGACTGAATAAAGTATTGTAATCATGATCAGGCACCTTCAAGCGACGTGTAAGCGATTCTTTAAAGTAGGTGAAGGTCGGCGACGAATTGCAGCAACTTTACATTGGCATCACAGTTACAAAAACCGGCTCTACGCGGACAAACTTTCGATTTTAACTGCATTTTGACAGCATTGAATGATGTAATCACGTCTGAGACCGATGTGGTTGAATCTACATTTGCGACAATAATTGCAGAGTGCATAAAGTACTTGTCTCAATTAAAACGAAAGGAATTACTAAGTAGAACATTATATTATGTAGACACAATAAAAAGTTTGCATAAGTCACTCACCTTCCAATTTCATCCCGACGTCCAAGCACTTTTGGAAACGGCAAAATGGGCAGCGTTTCCGCTGTGTTTTATCTATGTGACAGGCTCGTTCAGCGACACATGTGTACACCTTTTTGTTTTGCACGGTTCGCTTGAAGAAACCTTTGCAGGACTCGCAGGTCAGCAGGCCGTAGTGATAGCCGCTGACTTTGTCTCCACAAACTGGGCACAACTCCTCGATCACATCCTTTGTGTCAGTTTGGTCGCACACGGTTCCGGCTGCAGGCAAGTAACCGCCGGGCTCACCCCCAGTTCCTGTTGGAAACAGATATGATGGGTCCAAATTGGCATAGCCAAAAGATTGCTGTTCAGGCGTGCACTGGTATGCAGCACCCTGCGGGACGTATTGCTGGGATGCTCCTGAGGGGCCTCCGCCAGATCCAGATCCTTCTGGGCCCGGGCTCAAATCGAAGGGGGACATGTTGAGGGACATAAGGCCTGTCTGCTGGTCCATCGTCATGCTCGGCCGCTCTAGGCGGCTGCTTATTACAACTCCCTACAGCGGCGTTCAACCGCGACAACGTTCACACAGTCACCGAGTTCACTAGCGGTCTGACCGCAACACTATCTGCCGCTCGCGGGCTGCACCTGTTCAATCACTATAGAAGAAGACACATAAATCCAGAGCATTTTGTCCTATGGGCTGAGGTTAATAAGCGCCAGGCGCTGTCAGTCACAGCTGACCGGTAAAACAACTGTTCGTACGAGAGTTGACGACGCGAGTGATGTTTACGATCGCGTCGAGAGTTTGTGTCAGCAGCGGCGCACGTGCCGCTCGGGGGACGTTCCGCGATCGACTGGCGGCCGGCCGGCGACATCGGCGCGCGTGCCGGCGCCTCCCGCATGCGCGCCCCGCTGCCACCCGCGAGCCCCCGCCCGCTCGCACAATGGAAAACGATTAGGAGCCCATGTAATAAGTGAAAGTGAGTCGGTGACCCACTTTCCCGCGATCCAGGTCTATGTTAGTGCGCGTTCGCGCGGTTGCGCCACCGCGCGGGCGGAGGACAGCGCGGGGGGGCGGCCCACTGACCCAGTTGCGCGCAGTGCCGCAGCAGGGCAGGGTTGCCGCGAACAACGAGCGTAATGTTTACGTTCGTTTGACATTCGCTGCCGAATGGACTCCGATTGTATAGGATAAAACAGCACTAGCAACACTCGTAAATACTAGGAAAATTTTACTTCACAGGATATATTCGGAAACAGACAAATTATGACTGATGGATGCATAAGACCAATTTTACTATGAATGAAAAATAAGAAAAAATCCTATTAATTGACAACAAAAGAATTCATATCTGCGTAAAACTTTAGGAACTACAACCTACGTAAAAGAAATAATTTAGGAATAATAATAAAAAAAACTAAAATACATAAAAAAATCTTGGCGCCCTAAAAACATGTAGGTAATGAAGTCTGTATCAGACGAGTTAAATGTTTGATGACGTCACGTGCGCTAGCACAAGCTGTCATCGACTGCCGCTCAACCATCGACTTTGACATTTGTCTGCAGCTACGTCTACTACGCCACATGGTCCACATTAATTTATCTTTAATATGCCATTATAAATATACACAATGTAAAGTTGACGAGGACAGTCAACTAGCCTATATTATGTCATAAACTTTAGAATTCAAGCCCTATTCATAACTATTTTACTTTTACAATGCAACACGAATTGCTCCCGGAAAGGCGGCGTCGTCAAAAGAAAAGCTTTCTCCAATAAACGTAAAGGTGCCATAAAACCATAACTGACTCGTTTTTAAACATTCCCGTTACCAAGACTGCAGAACACAATAGCAGTAGGTTTTTTCTGTTGGGAACAAAAGATTTCATTTCTGAAATTAAAATTTTGCCAAACCATAAAACTCGGACTAATTAGTCTATTGACAAAGTTACAACAACTAAGAACAAACTCACGAAACAGAAATCGTAAAAAGTAACATTTTTAATTCGAAAAATAAATCTAATATTTATTATATTTGGATGAACCCATATAAGATGTTACGGTAAAATAATGTGAAAATTGATTGAAAAATATTATTAGTCATACCAAATCTAAATTTTATTATAACTCAAAGGTGACTGACTGACTGACATAGTGATCTATCATCGCACAGCCTAAACCACTGGACGGATCGGGCTGAAATTTGGCATGCAGGTAGATATTATGACGTAGGCATCCGCTAAGAAAGGATTTTACCAAACTCCACCCCTAAGGGGGTAAACCGGGATCCACGCGTACGAAGTCGCGGGCGGCTGCTAGTCATTACATAAAATAATATGATAAAAATTTCAATCGTAGTGAAACTTTACGTTACTGATTTAAAATTCCAACCACAGAATTGGATAGTAACAAGCTGAAATACTTATGACCACGCGTGGTATCTTAAAATTACTTCAACTTGAAAAATAGGTAGGTACCTACTAATTTAATAGCAAGAACTCTTAGGTACTAAAGCTCATAGTTATCTAGTGCTATGATGTTATATACATAACTAGCTTTCCGCCCGCGGCTTCGCCCGCGTGGAATTTTGTCTGTCACAGAAAAACTTTATCGCGCGCGTCCCTGTTTCAAAAACCGGGATAAAAACTATCCTATGTTCTTTCCCGGGACTCAAACTATCTCTATGCCAAATTTCATCAAAATCGGTTGCGAGGTTTAAGCGGGAAAGCGTAAAGACAGACAGACAGACAGACAGAGTTACTTTCGCATTTATAATATTAGTTGGGATTGAAATAACGATAGTTTAATTTATACCATTTAGATTCTAGATCTCATTGTTAGACGAGAAATAAATAAAACCGTCTAATAAAAATATTTAGGGGACAAATCAATCCCAACTAATATTATAAATGCGAAAGTAACTCTGTCTGTCTGTCTGTCTGTCTGTCTGTCTGTTACGCTTTCCCGCTTAAACCTCGCAACCGATTTTGATGAAATTTGGCATAGAGATAGTTTGAGTCCCGGGAAAGAACATAGGATAGTTTTTATCCCGGTTTTTGAAACAGGGACGCGCGCGATAAAGTTTTTCTGTGACAGACAAAATTCCACGCGGGCGAAGCCGCGGGCGGAAAGCTAGTAACAATATATTTTTTAAATACAGTCGGCGAGGGATGGGTTACCTTATTATCATTATAACCAATATGGACAGAAAATGATAATGCTCAGAGAAAAATGGGAATAGTCCATTTTTACGCCTTGTTTGGCAATAACGATGAATCTACATGATCGCGGCCATAACAAAATCCTGTTACGTCCTCAGGGATTATTTTGGTTTAACCAAAAGTAATTTCTTTCAAAAGTATCATAGGTAACTCTGAAAAAATTTTTTTTTAACAGACAGGATTCTTCAGTAATAGGTATTACAGTAAAAATGTATAGAACCTGAAAATTTACTAGGACACTTACTTAAAATTCATAGGTGCAAAGCGAACATGCTGCTATTCGGTATCAAAAGTGAAATAAATTAAAGATCTTGACCTGGTTTTTGGTTAAATCAGTCGACAGGTCACGAACGAGTGACTGTAACAACCTTGTGTTTTCGGTCAACTCTACATAATAATACGTATTTTTGATCATATTTAATAAAAAAATATAGGTAACGGCTGTTTTCGTAAGATCATCATTTCAGGAACAAACATTGAAAAGTACAAATAGTTACTTAATCATTGCATGAATCCATGAAAAGCGTTTTTCTTTTCACAACTCGCAAAGAGTTCGGGAAAACAAAAAACACAGGCATGATTTTGGCAACATTGGGTAAGTTTACAAATTGTTTTTTACAGCTGCTATTTTTGGTGTCTTCATAGTTAATTTTAAATCGCACATAAAGAAGTCGGTAACAATAACTGGAAGTCATAACGGAACATCGGTTTCATAACTAAGACCTGAATACCGGATGAAAAAGCGACAGTAAAGGTAAGTATACCAAAGTATGTCGTTTTCGCTATCACACAGACGGCGCGGCCTCCTACGAAAGCAAGAGTGGTCTACAGAATCGCACGCGCAGCTTGCTTTCTTCGCATGCGCGCAATCTGACGTCATACTTTCTCCACGTCCGATGACGCGCGTTGATGTAACGCATCGTAACGATGTAGTAATTTATGCGTGTCGACTAGCATTGTGTTGGCTTGGCACCCGATTTGCAAACCGATGCGTATTGTGATGCACTACATTTAGCATTCAAACCTATTCGTGGACTAAAGATGGGATGGATTCAGCATTATAATTATAAAAAATTTTCGTAGTAATGTTAGACAGCTGAAGCTGAAACCGTCGTCGCATAGTGAACTTTACATTAGTGAACTTTACATTTTCAGGAAAATAATTTCCATAAACAACTTCAACTACTAATCACCAATCTATGAGCTCCTCTGAAATGAAAACTATTCCACCTCTTCCAGTTTCTTCCATAAAAACTTTCGTGCTCTTTCTACTGTGTAACGTAATTTTTCAAATTACCTAACTGTGTACTCAATAGATTTCAAATTCGCAATAATAGGAACAAACTTGTTCTATACATAGCTAGAAAGTTTTTAACTTTTGTTCATTTGTAAGTGCAAGAAATATAAATAATCACGAACCAAAAAAGGCAACTGTTGCTGTACGAAATTAGAATCTTTGTTGACGGGAGAAGACCTACTGGAGTTTTAGTACTTGCCAAAAACTTCGTTTAAAAGGCTCTCCAGGGTATTGCTCCAATTGTTTTGTTTTTGCGCAACAACAAGACTGGTCTCAATTATGTCGTCAAGTGGACGAAACAAATAGTTAATTTAAATTCTTAACATTAGCTTAGTAAAGTTCAAACTTCAAATGGCTGGTAGAAACCAGCCATTTGAAGTCAAAAGCCGCTTTATTAATCTGTGGGATTTCATACTTTATTAGTTCAATGGCGGCAAAGCTTTGAACAGTGACTGCGGATACCTAAATCTGAAAGTAGATAAAACTTAACTGAAGTTCATAATTCTATTGAACTTTATTAGTGATCTCAACACTATTTCACTATGCAATCAAAGATAGTATAGTCATATCATGGCACAATGCGGTGTTAATGTCATTCGACCTTATTTGTCATCCTCATTAAAATGTTTCTAGGATGGTGCGTGTGAGGCGCATCGTTACATTCCCTTCTACGTGGACGAGTGAAGCGATGGATGGTTAACACGACATGTCTATAAACCAAACAGCGCTCCTTTTGGGACAGGGTTGATCCAGCTTAGGTATTTAACTTTTCATTAATTGCTCAGTACCAAC